AGAAGAAAAAAAGGTAGCTCCTGATCTGCCGGGGAGGGGTGGAACCAGCCAAGACTAAGCATTTTTAGGTCCACTATATAACACGTCAGCATTTCCTGTTCGTTGGGCTCTCAACTAATCACCTATGGGGGTTTGTTGACCAGTTCCATTATTGCAATAATTAATAGATATCAAATAGAGATTGATTGTTTGAAGAAATGACAGTCTCTCTCACTTGATTAGAATTTCCTCGACAGGCGTGGTCGGTCCTCCGATTCCTGTAGTCCACAATCAGCTCCTTTGTCTTGCTGACGTTGAGGGAGAGGTTGTTGTCCTGGCACCACATTGCCAGGTCTCTGACCTCCTCCCTGTAGGCTGTCTCATTGTCGTCGGTGATCAGGCCTACCACCGTTGTGTCGTCGGCAAACTTAATGATGGTGTTGGAGTCGTGCGCGGCCACGCAGTCGTGGGTGAACAGGTAGTACATACATATCTCAAATCAAATCAAATGTATTGGTCACATACACATGGTTAGCAGATGTTATTGCGACTGTAGCGAAATGCTTGTGCTTCTAGTTCCGACAGTGCAGTAATATCTAGCACGTAATATCTAACAGTTCCACAACAAATATCTAATACACACAAATCTAAGTAAAGGAATGGAATAAGAATATATAAATATATGGATGAGCAATGTCATTGTCAGAGCGGCATAGGCTAAGATGCAGTAGATAGTATAGAATACAGTATAAACATATGAGATGGGTAATGCAAGATATGTAAACATTATTAAAGTGGCATTATTAAATTGACTAGTGATCCATTTATTAAAGTGGCTAGTGATTTTCAAGTCTGTATGTAGGCAGCAGCCTCCCTGTGCTAGTGATGGCTGTTTAACAGTCTGATGGCCTTGAGATAGAAGCTGTTTTTCAGTCTCTCAGTCCCAGCTTTGATGCACCTATACTGACCTCGCCTTTTGGATGATAGCGGGGTGAACAGGCAGTGGATCGGGTGGTAGTTGTCCTTGATTATCTTTTTGGCCTTCCTGTGACATCGGGTGCTGTAGGTGTCCTGGAGGGCAGGTAGTTTGCCCCCGGTGATGCGTTGTGCAGACCGCACCACCCTCTGGAGAGCCCTGTGGTTGTGAGCGGTGCAGTTGCCGTACCAGGCGGTGATACAGACCGACAGGATGCTCTCAATTGTGCATCTGTAAAAGTTTGTGAGGGTTTTAGGTGCCAAGCCAAATTCCTTCAGCCTCCTGAGGTTGAAGAGACGCTGTTGCACCTTCTTCACCACACTGTCTGTGTGGGTGGACCATTTCAGTTTGTCAGTGATATGTACGCCGAGGAACTTAAAACTTTCCACCTTCTCCACTGCTGTCCCGTCGATGTGGATAGGGGGGTACTCCCTCTGCTGTTTCCTGAAGTCCACGATCATCTCCTTTGTTTTGTTGACATTGAGTGAGAGGTCATTTTCCTGACACCACACTCCGAGAGCCCTCACCTCCTCCCTGCAGGCTGTCTTATCGATGTTGGTAATCAAGCCTACTACCGTTGTGTCGTCTGCAAACTTGATGATTGAGTTGGAGGTGTGCATGGCTACGCAGTCATGGGTGAACAGGGAGTACAGGAGGAGTGTGTAAGACATGTAAAATGTAAATACATTAATAAAGCCTGTGCAATGTGCATACCAGATCAAAACTTCCATCACAATCTCAAGGCCTTAAATCAATAGATTAATTTGAGAGTTGAACCAGTCTGCTGTGCCCCGATGATTGAGACAATTACATTGAATGAATCAAAGTAGACATGCAGATGCTGACCTCTACTGGGTAGCAAGCAAGATACAACAGGGCAGGACAAGAAGAGAGAAAAGCATTCTTTCCATCTGTATGTGAATCTCTCGCTAGCTCTTATTCACAATATCATAACTTCACACTACCTGAGATTATTTTTACATAAAGCTGTATCAATAACAACACCATTGCTTCCTCAACTGTTATATAGCACAAGAGGAATAGGAATGATAGAGCACAAATTGTATTTTACTGCCATCTGTTGAAGGATAAGTAATGGGCACTGCAAAGGGAAGTCATTTCTCCAATGTGTGCCGGTAATAGCATAATTTCATGAACACTATTGTACAATGTTTCAGATCTTTTCATCATTTCAAACATAATTTGTGACGACTATATCGACTGCCATAATTCAGCTCAGGGATTGTTCATTGAGATGCATCAACTCTAAGCAATAAGGACATATGGTGAACATGTGTGGGTTAAAATAATTAAATAGTGGCAATACAAGGTCCCATTAATATTTAGAACGAGGAAGAAGGTAATAATTTAATATAGGTCATTGGTACAGTATCACCATACAAATTAACTTATCACTTACTTACCTACATTATAATAGGCCAGGGTGGAGGATGCACTCTGAGGATGGCAGGGCTGATGAGTTTAATGGTTTGCATCCATCCTTCCCATTGATTGTAAATGGACATGACGTAGCTCCAGGTGGCTGCAGGGCATTGGTCTTGTGACAGACACAAGTCTAATCTTGACCTTGGGAACAAGAGAAGATAAAATACCATTAGAATAAGGCTGGCACTGTTCATGATCACAGACAAGCAAAGGTGCTTACTAAAACATTTCCAGTTTAATTTGAACATATACAGTATTGACACTTTCTAACTCAATAAATTGTCTGTAAGGTGTCAAGGTATTATGAGATGAGACAAATCAAGCCTGCGAGTTGTTTGGAAGTTAATTCAGACATGGCTGGCATTACCCTCCATTTAGCAATTGACTTTGGCAGATCAAAGATGGAGTCAAGGATTCTGATTGGTTCATCTGACAGCCTAGTCCCATGTGATTTCCCCTTGATGCATAAAATAGCTAGTCAAACAGGCTGTAATATGGTTTCAACTGCCTTCATTCATTTTTTATGAACTGAAACTTTCTCTCATGCCAGTAATTGCAGGCTCATATATTTTCACATTTTCAATAGCCTGTAAATGTAAATTTAACATATGTTTTATGACTATTGACTAATTATTTTAGGAATATGAACATGTGCAACATCATGGCAACATGTGATTACACAGAATAAGCAAATGGCCAATAACAAGATAATATAGTACTTTATTAATCCCCATGGGATTTGATTGCACCAGGCAAAACATACATTACTAATAAATACGCCATAAAAACACAACAAGGACACACAGACACTAAAAGCAGCACATCATCAATAAATAAACTAAGTGTTCGTGTTAAAAAAGTCTCATAGCATATGGTAAAAAGGATCTGCGGAAACGTTCCGTTTTGGACCTGGGTAAAATAAATGTGTCTGCCATCGCACTGCGATGCTCCAGGAAGGTAGGCCTACTGTGGAGGGGGTGGCTAGTGTTGGCCTTTACAGTATACTCCTGAGTTTTTTTTTTGTTGCCTACTGTGCAGAATTTACACAATGAAGGTGGGCAACCATGATGCATATTTCTTGGTCTACACAGTAGCCTTTACACTAGGCTGGACTGGAGTGTCTATGTATATATCCACAATTTATGATGTACCTATAGCCCAAACTGATCTATAGGTATACAAAGCCAAATTCTGTTTTATACCTTCAAGCACATCGCGTTCATTTCAACCAACATTCTTCTCCCCTGGAAGCCATGTTAAGGGGGCGTTTCATTCTATTTTCCCCTGGAATTATTTTTTTCCACTTTGCAGCATCAGTAGTAGCGTAGAGCCAGCCTCCTGTGAATGTACGGTGGTTGTGGCTGTAGTTTTTTAGGAACAGGATACGCATAACGACAGCGAAGGAAAAAAACATAGCCATTCCTCGGGGATTTGTGAAAGGGAAACTCAGGTCTGCATTTATTCGTGTAAAGGACGACAAACAGGTACACATTTCACGCTCACGCATATCCGGTTTATTGCGTTTTGTGGCGAGCTCCGTCTCCGAAAGAATGTTCCTTTCCATGTCTGATGAGATTACACATCCAATGCAATGAAAACAAAATGGGGGTTGCGCTGTAGCATGTGAGCAACAGAATTACAAGAAAGGTTATGGCCCGATGTCCCAGACCTTTCTATTTGAGAACAGCCGCGTATTTCTAGAGAACAGCCGCGTATTTCTAGTGGACAGGCGACCAACTGAAGCGAGGCCCTTGATTAGATAGGTCTGCATAATGCTTTTTCCATACGCGTACCCTATCCGAAAAATGCACGTAGGCCTACCAGCGAGTCTATTTTTATTCCTGTAGAATAGAACGTCTATTTATACACATTTATGTAATTTGGTCTATATTCATGGTGATTTGTACATTAAGTATGGCTATGTCGGTTAGGATCTGTAATTATAAGACGTCACATTTTACGAAAAACATTAATTAAATGATATACGTCGAGTATAGTAGCCTACTGTAGGCTACAGTAAGTGTCACGATCTTTTCCCTGTTCTTTTATTTTTCCAGTGCATGGGAGCAATCGAGGATACAAAACGCATTCAAGATGCACAAGAAAATGCAATGCATTCAATGCAATAGGACATAGATATCCGAAATAATATATCGGGTCTCAGATTGCAAATGGCATTTCCAAATCTGGAGTCTACTGTTGGCCACCGCGGACCTCTTCTGTACTAGTATTATTGAGTTTGTTTACAACCTCTGGCAAAGTAACCTTCCCATCTTGAAAATCATGAACAAATACTCATGCACAACTTTACAATTCCTCTGAACAATGCTTTGTATTTGGCAATTGAATTGAATTCTTAAAGTTCCAATGCAGCCGTTTTTATCTCAATATCAAAACATTTCTGGGTAACAATTAAGTACTATAGTGTGATTGTAAAAAAAAAAAAAAAAAAGTGGGCATTATAAAAACAGTTTTGCACAATAGGGTCTAGTGTATTTCAATTGGTTCATCGTTGCATGTATAGTACAAATAACCAATTTAATGTAGTCGCAATCTCCATCCTGAACACTAACCATGGTAATATGACTGTTGTCCTCCCCAGGTAGACGTAGCTGAGGCAAGATGTCAGCCCGAGGAGGAAAGAAGAAGACCACCAAACTGTCCCGCTCCGCCAGAGCAGGGGTCATCTTTCCTGTGGGGAGGATGATGAGGTATCTACGCACAGGGACCCACAAGTACCGCATCGGCATGGGGGCACCCGTCTACATGGCAGCCGTCATAGAGTACCTGGCAGGTTGGTGTCTCGCCTGAGTGAAAACACACACCAATGTCACACAGTGTCGTCCTGTTTCAGCAAACACAAAAACAATGTTCCTAAATTCACTTGTGTATTAATAACAGGATAGATTATGTAAAATATATTAACATTAATATTTTATTGGTAAACGCTGGCAGAATTTTTTTCTAATGACAATTTCTTGTTTAGCTGAGATTTTGGAGTTGGCAGGAAATGCAGCAAGGGACAACAAAAAAGGAAGAATAACTCCTCGGCACATTAAACTGGCTGTAGCCAACGACGAGGAGCTCAACCAGGTACAGTATTATTCCCCTTGAAACTGATATTTAGAAAATTTCCTATAATGAACTCAGCAAAGTCAGTTTTTCATGTTGTTCCACTTCACTTGCATCATTGTTACACCATATTATATTACAGTAGATTTTAGTGCCCAATAGGGATCTATGAAACCAGTGGCGATTTTAGCATGTCAATCTTGGTGGGGCAAACAAAACAAAAAATTGGGGGATGCATGCCAGCAAAGCCACTACACTACACTAAACAATAAATTAATTGCACTATAACGGTTACAAACGGGGCCCACAAACTGTTAGGGCCTACATAAAGCTGTCCCAACACCATACCACTGCTACACCTGGCTATCAGCGGAGCCTTGTCTGACAGCGAAACAGTTAATTCAGCCTAATTTACTGCCTTTAAAAAAAAAACATAGCTGATATGGCTGAAATAAATGTGGTTTCTACTGACAATTGGATAAGAGGCAATCCGTAATTTCGATTAAGACATTAATGAGCGAGCTAGGACGGACGTAGTCAATATAACTATTTGTTCAGCACTTTTGAAATGTACAGCGACAGAATTCAGAACATGGGCCGTTCTTACAGTATTCTCCCTGCACACCAAGTCAGAACCGTAGGATAAATAAAGGGGGCATATAAGCAGACAATGAAAGCTCTTACAATATTTGATGATTACATTTCTCTAAAACAGGTTATAGGCTACATGTGCACCACCAAGTCAGAACAGAAGGCGAAATTAAGAGGGGAAAATATACCAAATTATTAGGGTGAGGCACATGGGCTACTAACAGCGTACTACAACAACATACACTTAGTATAATTATTATTTTTGCTAAAAATGTGGGGCTCAATGGCCCTGAATGACGGGTTGCTACTGCATGAAACTATAATGATGAAGGTAGTACCATTGTCTAAGTGTTCAGGAAGGTGCAGTTGACGCCATATGGCATCTGTACCAGGTAGGATTTCATCAGACATGAACTGCCACCGCTTTGTGGTTAACCCCGAGTGGAAAACGGTTTTATTGAGGCCCCAAATCCTGACAAGACATATAACTGTAAGAGGTTAGATGCTCAATGCACTCAAAAATATGTACTTTTTTTTAGGCAGTGGGTACATTCAGCTTGTATTCAAATAAGTTGGGAGAAAATACAGTAATTAACTAATTACATTTAATAGACAATGAGCTTTATCATTTTCGCAGGATTTTTACCACTTGCCTAGTATTTCATAGAGGGATGAAATTGACCAATGATAAACTGAATACATATTAAATAGTCAACTAATTCACCGGTTCTGTGGCCTCACTCAGCTTCTCAGAGGGGTGACCATATCAAACGGAGGGGTCCTGCCTCGCATCCATCCTGAGCTGCTGTCCAAGAAGAGGGGCAGCCGAGTGAAAGTGGACACTCAGGTGACAGTGCCAGAGAAGAGGGCGGAACGTGTTAAGAGCATCAAGAAACCCACCACCAAAAAAGGCAAAGGTAAACCAGGCCGCAAGCCAAGGGTAAGTACACATGAATGAGCTTCGTGAATGACAGAAAACATCTCAATATTTGTCAATGTGTTTGTCAAATAGTGCTATAAGAAGCATGAGTAAGTTCTGTTTTTCATTGATTCTATTTAAAGAAGAACACAGAAAACGACAAAGAAACTGTTGTAGCCAACTCAACAGTGGAAGATGGACCAGGTGATGGATTCACTATCCTCTCAGCGAAAAGCCTGTTCCTTGGACAAAAGGTATCATGAAATGTAGTCTCATGTCAGTAATGACATGTCATTCTATGACGCCTTTTGTAAAGATACCTCAGTCATACACCTTGGAAATAAGTGACACATATGCGTCAAGTTTCTAAGTAATTTTGTTATAACTTCAACTCTACATCCCCTAAACAGCTTTCACTAACAGAGAGTGAAATTAGCAAAATTGGAACCATTAAGGTGGAGGGAATCATCAACCCCACAAATGCAGAGATGGACCTCAAAGAGGGAGTGGGTGAGAATACCAGACCTGCTCGTCTTTTCATCCTAGACTTATGAAAGGCCCACAGCCCATTATAATTATCCCTCTTACCGGATGTGTGCTCGTCTACAGGCAGTGCCCTGGAGAAGGCAGGGGGGCGGGACTTCTTGGAGGCAGTGAAAGAACTGCGGAAAGCACAGGGACCTTTGGAGGTAGCATCAGGTATGGAGATCTGGAAACTAGAGTAAAATCTGCTGGATGAGAGGTTTGAGAAGTTTTGCATGCAATGGTAATGAAATGATGTACAGTTGAAGTCGGAAGTTTACATACACTTAGGTTGGAGTCATTAAAACTCATTTTTCAACCACTCCACAAATTTCTTGTTTACAAACTATAGTTTTGGCAAGTCGGTTAGGACATCTACTTTGTGCAATTTTTCCAACAATTGTTTACAGATTATTTCACTTATAATTCACTGCATCACAATTCCAGTGGGTCAGAAGTTTACATACACTAAGTTGACTGTGCCTTTAAACAGCTTGGACAATTCCATGGCTTTAGAAGCTTCTGATACGCTAATTGACATAATTTGAGTCAATTGGAGGTGTACCTGTGAATGTATTTCAATGCCTACCTTCAAACTCAGTGCCTCTTTGCTTGACACCATGGGAAAATCTAAAGAAATCAGCCAAGACCTCAGGAAAAAAATTATAGACCTCCACAAGTCTGGTTCATCCTTGGGAGCAATTTCCAAACGCCTGAAGGTACCACGTTCATCTGTACAAACAATAGTACGCAAGTATAAACACCATGGGACCACGCAGCCGTCATACCGCTCAGGAAGGAGACGCGTTCTGTCTCCTAGAGATGAACATGCGAATCAATCCCAGAACAACAGTAAAGGACCTTGTGAAGATGCTGGAGGAAACAGGTACAAAAGTATCTATATCCACAGTAAAACGAGTCCTATATCGACATAACCTGAAAGGCCGCTCAGCAAGGAAGAAGCCACTGCTCCAAAACCGCCATAAAAAAGCCAGACTACGGTTTGCAACTGCACATGGGGACAAAGATCGTACTTTTTGGAGAAATGTCCTCTTGTCTGATGAAACAAAAATAGAACCGTTTGGCCATAATGACCATCGTTATGTTTGGAGGAAAAAGGGGGCGGCTTGCAAGCCGAAGAACACCATCCCAACCGTGAAGCACGGGGGTGGCAGCATCATGCTGTGGGGGTGCTTTGCTGCAGGAGGGACTGGTGCACTTCACAAAATAGATGGCATCATGAGGAAGGAAAGTTATGTGGATATATTGAAGCAACATCTCAAGACATCAGTCAGGAAGTTAAAGCTTGGTCGCAAATGGGTCTTTCAAATGGACAATGACCCCAAGCATACTTCCAAAGTTGTATTGGTATTGGAGTGGCCATCACAAAGCCCTGACCTCAATCCTATAGAAAATGTGTGGGCAGAACTGAAAAAGCGTGTGCGAGCAAGGAGGCCTACAAACCTGACTCAGTTACACCAGCTCTGTCAGGAAGAATGTGCCAAAATTCACCCAACTTATTGTGGGAAGCTTGTGGAAGGCTACTCGAAACGTTTGACCTAAGTTAAACAATTTAAATGCAATGCTACCAAATACTAATTGAGTGATGAATGGTGATGAAAGAAATGAAAGCTGAAATAAATCATTCTCTCTACTATTATTCTGACATTTCACATTCTTAAAATAAAGTGGTGATCCTAACTGACCTAAGAGAGGGAATTTTTACTAGGATTAAATGTCAGGAATTGTGACATTAGTTTAAATGTATTTGGCTAAGGTGTATGTAAACTTCCGACTTCAACTGTAATTACCGAATGTGCTTATCCAAAGACCCTCATTTAGCATACACATAATAAACTTAATTGACACATGATAGTCTCACCTCACTCACCAATCTAGCCTCAAAACCCAATGTACAGTACACTGTCAATGCGTATATTTAAACCTACAAATAAAGAGTGAAACATCAGTGTGTGTTTGCGTGTCTTCCTCCCGTAGTTGCGGTGAGCCAGGCCAGTGGGATGCCAGCTCGTTTTGTCATCCACTGTAACATCCCTCAATGGGGCTCAGAGAAGTGTGAGGACCAGCTGGAGAAGACTGTCAAGGCCTGTCTCTCTGCTGCAGAGGAGAAGAAACTCAAGTCCGTTGCCTTCCCCTCACTTCCTGCTGGCCGGTGAGACTACTCAACTGCAGCTTTAAATCTATACCAGTAACAATAAAAACATATGCAATTCCAGTAAAAAGGGGCTTCAACAGCCGTGTTAATTCTGGCAGCTATTTTAGATTTAGTTTGTCTTTATGACTAAAATACCTTTTCGTTTTAGTTATCAATCGACTAAAACTCTGGACAATTTGTCTAGTTTTAGTCAGACAATTTAGTCACATTAGTCAGTGCATTTTTTCCCATTAAATAATTAGTGTATACCTATAACTTCCATCATGTGTACATTGAGATAGCCTTGTCCAACTAGGCCTACTATACCCTCATATAGCTGGCACCTTGTTATTGTGGCAGATTGTAACCAATACCAGCCACGATTTACCATATAGGCTACAAAGCCTTGGCTACATGTTAAACAAAGGGGAGGATCTGAGCTTTCCAACAATGCCAGAAATATTATTGTACTCCTAATATTCAGCAAATAGCATTCATATTTCCCTGGAAAAAACAACTGCACTCGCATTTGCGGACCACGAGAGTTGTAACACAGATGAATAACAGCGCACATGGGAAAATAGAGCTTTGATGTGATCATTAAAGTATGAGAGAGTAAACATTGTTTCTACTTTAGGTTAGTTACAATTTAAGTGTCCTTGCTGCCAGTTAAAAAGATTCACGAGTGACTGAAGTGACCACCCGGGAGCTGTGTGGGAGAGCCGGGCAGATCAGCTCAATCAGACCGAGCAACTTAAAAAATGTTAATTCTGCCAATGAGAGGATTGCATTAAATATTCTGCAAAGGCATGCATGCTTATGATTGGATGTGGAATTCTCGTTGTCACATTTTCGTCAACTAAAATGTAAACTTGTTAGTTACGGTTATCGTCATTTTCATGGCATCTCGTCTTGTTGTCATTAGTTTTCGTCAGGAAAAATTGGTCGTTGACATTTTTTGTCCGTTATTGTTGACTAAATGAACACAGCAGCTCAGCAGGCTGAACCAGAGCTCTTTCTTAATTCATCTTTCCTTGATTCCTTCTCAAAATGCATTGAAGAAGGTCAAAGGAGGGAAACGAACCTATCTCCCTCCAATAAAAGAGAGAGTGAGGAATTGTAGAAAGTCAAATTGAGATTGAGCCCACATGTGTATCTCTTCTGGTTGTAGGAATGGATTCCCAAAGCAAACAGCCGCCCAGCTGATCCTCAAGGCCATCTCCAACCATTTTGTCTCTGCGACGACCTCCTCCCTGAAAAACATTTACTTTGTACTGTTTGACAGCGAGAGCATCGGAATATACCTTCAGGAAATGGCCAAGCTGGATGCCAAGTGAAGACGAGCTGGAGAAATGCTCGATTTGAGGTGTTTTTTAAACGGTTGCAGTTGTATTTCAGATGGATCTTTGTTTTTTGCAGCTGGTATAGTGTGATCAAGGTGCTGTCATTAGGCGTTTTTGACAACATTGGATAGCCCCCGGAAGGCGTAAAAAAAAAATGTGAGTGAAGTACTGTACGCATTTATGTTACACTGTCTTCCTTTTACAGGATTGCATTTTCTTTTTTAGACTAGATTAAATTAATAATCCCCATGGCTTGTCATTCTTATCCCTTATTTACTGATATTGTTTTTACATTCCATGTACAAAGACAATTTTGACAGTTGTTTTTTCTGCTAGATTTATTCTGCTAGATACAGTTAGTTTACTAAGAAAAAAAAGTGTTTCTCATTCTGCTTTCAAATAAAAATCCAGATGTTTTACACCACAGATCCAATTTGATTTACCAACACCCATGAATAGCACAGCAACACAGTTTCATTACATTAATTTATTACATTGTAAAAAGTACATGACCTTTTATTTATATATATATACACATTATATTCATGTAATTTCCTGTTCACTCAAGAAATAGCGCCTGGTATACCTAACAATGCAGTACAACAAATGAACAGCTTACAAAAAGACTTAACACCCCTTACACAGAGGGGCTCCACTTCATTGTATTGTATAGTAGTGTTGGTGCACAGACAGACTAATGCGTTTCTAATTTCTCTGACATAAGGCAGTGGATTAGGAGAGTAATATAACCTGACCTGAAAGCGGTTGTTCCCAACTGTGCTTCAACAAGAGTATTCATTCCCCAACACCCCATTCCATTCCTAGCTGAATAAATAAGATTACAATATTATAGACTGATAAAGGCAACGGACGAGAAATAAACTGAACTGAAGGTTACACCAATCACAAGGTTGGGCATTCGAAATAGACACCAGAGGGGTATACTACAAAGCAGGATCAATGAGTTAGCCAGATAACCTTAATAAGCAACCAGAGATAACTATTAACTTTCTGTTTTATTAAGAAACCTAAACTTGCATATGCATTTTCTGGTTGTTGAGTCAATTAGACCATGCCCATTTCATGCTAATCTTTTGCAAAATAAAAAGTTATTTCAGAATATTTTGGCAAGTTAGCTGTCTAAGTCATTGATCTTGCTTTGTAGTATACCCTCTGAAATGATAGGGGTGGGGGCCACAAAGAATCTTAACTCCTCATGAGGGGACGCAGTTGCTCGCGAGTCTGCGTACCCCCCCATTGCGAGCAAAACATTTTAGTGGCCCCCCTCTTGACAGCGGAGAGATCATTTTAGTTTGAGTTAATTTAATGCTATTCTACACATTTAAAAATGGGGTGTAGAGAAAATGTTGCAGTTTTAAAGCACGTTTGCTGCAATTCTACAGATTTTGCCATGGGGTGGAGAGAAGATTTTGCATTATATAACTCATTTCATGCAATTCTACTCATTTTGCCATGAGGCAGAGAGGAAAATAAGCTGTTTTACAGCAGATTTCCTGAAATTCTATGTTAGATTTTACATTTTAGTCATTTAGCAGACGCTCTTATCCAGAGCGACTTACAATTAGTGAGTGCATACATTTTTCATACTGGCCCCCCGTGGGAATGGATTAGCAGTTTTTAATATGATATCCGAGTGAGACTGATTAACAAAATCAATGGGGGCGCCCCGGACGGTAATTTGACCATGATAACAAGTTTAGATAGCTGGCCGCTAAACTAACTTCGCAATCAAAAAAATTTAGCTGACATGGGCTTTACAAACGGGGGCCGCGGGACGCCGCCAGTTGCCCATCCCTGTTCTAAGTGGTTGAGGCTTTTGAAAACGATTCTTCTTCCATCATCACATGCAGTGAGATGTCTGGTATGGGTATCTGGTTTGGGTATAATTTGATAGAAGATCAAGGCTCTAACTTCAACCTACCAATATCCAAACTCCTCTGCAATCAATAAATAACTGTACTGATTACTGTACAGACAGTGACATGCAAGAATACTTTCACTGTGTCAAGTGGAATAAAGTAGTCCCATATGAAAACTTGCAAAGATGATCTGGACCAATCATCTCATCACTTGGAAATGAATTTCAGATCAGCTTGTCCCACATTGACTGTGCTCAATCTGCTCCAGTGAAGTCATATAATATGGCAATATGGTTACTCAAGTGCTAAGTGGCCACAGCTGATGTATGCACCATGTTACACAAACGTGACCAATACACCCTGATACACATGACAAAAGTAAGTCAATACTGTACTCGTTTAAATAATCTCATTAAGACCTTCCTATACAACTCCCCTAACCTGATCGATAAAAGCTGACGCCTAGGCCAGACCAGTCGTCACATTCGGAATGTTCTAGGTGCTGCCCTTGTTAGCAATGGCAGCATCTCAAATCCATCTTTCCAAGCCAAACCATGCACACCTCTGTCCCGCTTGGGTATAACAGTATTTAGAGGACTTAAGAATACGTAAAGTGTCCTTTTAAAACATATTTTTGTTATTTGGGGCAAATAATGTTTTAGGGCCATTGTAATCAACTTTTTGCGAACAAGCTCATGACAACATGTAGGCAAATTTCTCCCTCTTTGGACATCCCAGGATATCATATAATATAATTATTTTCAAAAACCTGACAATTTTATAATGGAAATATATAAACTGTATGCTTTATATTACTGTACATTTATATTTCGACCTTCAGATACAAGAGTTATATAGCTAGTATTTCGCTCTTTTTTTGTTGTAAGACACAGTGCCCTGATACTTTGACTGGAGTAAATTCATCTCTGTACATCCTATTCAGTAAACAACATGCAGTACCTAAAACCAAATAAGTTATTCACTATGATTTTATTCCTGTCAGGATCTCTAGATTATTGTTAAGCACAGGCATACTAACAACGTAGTCAACTTTGTAGGGCTCAAGTTGAAACTGACTCGGTAGGAGAAGTCGGAAAGATCGAAGCCAGTCAAATAGGTGCTGTCCTTAATATCCATGTAGCATCGTATATGTATATCATAAATATGTATTTTCTGATGAATACGTGAATATTGAAGGACAGCAGGTCCCCAGGATGTTAGATAAGACCAAAGCTAGATGTGTCTGTGGTTGTTTAGTGTTGTCTGAGAGGTGACCATGCATGTCCAGGGTCTCCCTGTGTTAGAGTTGGTCTATCCCCCCCTGCAAAGGGGTGCAGAGCCTAAGGAGACAGCTATGTTGTTTAGGGGACAGGTAGGGGACAGTGTCCTCCTGTGAGAGTAGGCATAGGGCTATGGTGGCTCTATTTTATCTCCGGGGTGTCACTAAGGTCAGTGGGCCTGGGGGCAGGGAGCAGGGGGACAGGGGAGCTGGCCTCAATGAGGGTGGGGTTGAGGATGATGGGGAGGGACATGGGGGGCACGCCCCCCACCTGCAGATGGGAGGCCAGGGGCTGCAGGATGAGGGGGGACTGACTCATGGGGGAGTGACTCAGGGGGGACATCTTCACTGGGGTGGGCATGGGGGGAGTCGATGGGGGCACTGGAGATGATCTGTCAGTTCCTGGAAGAGAAGAAGAGAGGACATTGATTCATTCATTTATTGTTGGCTATGAAACTGACATTGATTGATTCATTGATCATTGGCTTTGGCCAGATTTCATATTTGACTGGCCATGTTAACATGGTTACCGTTGGCACTAGGTGGTGGGTGATTTTGGGGCGACGCTGGTCTGCTGGAGGTCTTTGGCTCTGTGGGGGCAGCTGGCACGGGAGATGGGGCTGGGGGTGGCGAGGCTGGGGGGGATGGGGCAGCTGGCTGGGCAAGTTCCACTGGGGGACTGGGAGCAGGATCTATGGACACAGAGCACAGACAGCCATTACATTTCAGTGATCTGGCTTTATGTAGCTATATAGCAGAAAGAACACTGAAATAAGGGTAAGTACAAATCATGAAAAACATGTAGGAAGTGGATTCTAACTAACCTACATTCATATATTGTTCATACTCAAAGCAGAGTACATATCGGAGAAAACAACACCTTAATAGATGCAGGTGTAGTGTGTGGTCCAGTACCTGGTTGTGGTATGACTGTCTGTTTGAAGAGCTCCTCCCGGAGGTTAGGCAGGAAGCAGTTGATGCGTTCCCAGGTGATCTCCCACAGGTCAGAGTATCCCGTACGAGAGTCGGCGCTGTGGAAGATTCCTGCTGTGTCCATCACCAGCAGCATGTTCTTCAGAGACTCTGGAATGGCCTCCAGCTGGGGTCGTGGGGATAACCACCAACCAATCAGCCATGCAATCACACACAGATGGAAAAAACACTGATTGACCTGAGCTGAATAGGAATGAACATTAACTACTACTTTTCTTGAGTGTGCCCTCCTTTGCATTTGACCACTCGTTGGAAAGTTCTAAAGTGGTAGATGTTCTAGACTAGCTACAGTTAACTGCCAAAATAAAGGAAACACCAACATAAAGTGTCTTAATAGGGCGTTGGGCCACCACGAGCCAGAACAGCTTCAATGCACCTTGGCATAGATTCTACAAGTGTCTGGAACTCTATTGGAAGGATGCGACACCATTCTTCCACGAGAAATTCCATTATTTGATGTTATGTTGATGGTCGTGGAAAACGCTGTCTCAGTCGCCACTCCAGAATCTCCCACAAGTGTTCGATTGGGTTGAGATCTGGTGACTGAGACGGCCATGGCATATGGTTTACATCGTTTTCATGCTCATTAAACAATCCAGTGACCACTCGTGCCCTGTGGATGGGGGCATTGTCATCCTTTGGGGGCATAGTCATGGTAGCCAAAATAATGGCCAAAATAATGGCCTGCCCAGCATTTTTATACATGACCCTAAGCATGGGATGTTAATTGCTTAATTAACTCAGGATCCACACCTGTGCTTTCAATATACTTTGTATCCCTCATTTACTGAAGTGTTTCCATTATTTTGGCAGTTACCTGTAGAAGCATCTGAGCTAATAGGAGTTAAAATCAACATGTGATACTTGTGATACTGTGTAATATTAGGCATCGTTACCAGCAGGTCACTGGAGCCAGCGTGCATGTACTTGTCCATGAAATCCAGGATGGTGAGCCACAGGGCAGCGAAGGTGGGCAGAGACAACAGGGGAGAGAGGTGCTGCAAGAACACCTAGGGTAGAGCAAAGCAATGGAAAACAGTGAGATATTCAGAGATTACATGGGTAGACAGGCACTACCTGACACTGCATATTATACTATCACTCTTCAGACGGATAAGCAATGCTAGACAGCGGAAGGATTTAGCAACTTTGTCCATTTCTCTAAAAAAGAACACCACAATTCAACAGACACCGTTGTAGAAGAGTCTAACCCTACGGTCTGAACACTTTGAAATGGCTGCCTGTTGTGTGTTTATTGAACTCTGACCTTTGACAGCAGGGTGCAGGCCCTCATCCTGGTCTCCTCCATGCCGCCCACATCTGCAGGGCTAATATTGTCCAGCAGCTTGGTCAGCAGGGGGAACAGGACCTGGCAACACAGTATACAGTAATTAGAACACAGTTAACACTGACAATGCTCACATTAGACAGACACCCTAATTATTTCCCACTTATTTTCAGACTTGAGATAGGCAAAATTCTTTTGCATAATACTGCATTGTTTTCAATGGGATATTTGCCTATAGAATTCCAAATAAATGCCCATGTCAAGCTAGGATTTGGCCCCAAGTGCCTACTCTTTTAATTAATCATATATTTCACTATATATTCCCAGTGGTCCTCCTATAATGTTAAATATGATGTTCAGCATCCTCCTCTCACCTTGTTGAAGCAGGACTCCCACTCCACAGCATCTAGTGTCTGCAGGTCATGAACCAACAGTGCCCTCTGGAGGTAGGTCAGGGCCTGCATTCGCACCTGCCGCCTGGCATCACAGCACAGCCAGGCTATCCCTATGGGATTCACACAATGTATGGATACTTATGTCAGATATAAAGAGCTAAGACTGGCAAGAGTGTCAAGACCACTAAGTCCACTCTCTCAGAGGTCATCTCAGTGAATTACAGTGCCTTCACACCCATTGACCTTTTCCACATTTTGTTGCATTACAAAGTGGGATTCAAATGGATTTGTCATTTTTTGTCAATGATCTACACAAAATACTCAGTGTCAAAGTGGAAGAAAAATGTATGACATTTGTAAAGAAATAAAAATAAAACACTAATATATCTTGATTAAATAAGTATTCAACCCCCTGAGTCAATACATGTTAGAATCACCTTTGGCAGAGCTTTCCACACCTGGATTGTGCAACATTTGCCTATTATTCGTTTCAAAAATTCTTCCAGCCCTGTCAAGTTGGTTGTTAATCATTGCTAGACAACCATATTCAGGTCTTGCCATAGTTTTTCAAGCAGGTAAGTCAAAACTGTAACTTGGCCACTCAGGAACATTCACGGTCTTCTTAGAAAGGAACTACAGTGAAGATTTGGCCTAGTGTTTTAGGTTATTGTCCTGCTGAAAGGTGAATTAATTTCCCAGTGTCTGGTGGAAAGCTGACTGAACCAGGTTTTCCTCTAGGATTTTGCCTGTGCTTAGCTCCATTCCGTTTATTTTTTATCCTGAAAAACTCCCCAGTCCTTAACGATTACAAGCATACCCATAACATGATGCAGCCACCACTATGCTTGAAAATATGGAGAGTGGTATTCAGTAATGTGTTGTATTGGATTTGCCTCGTATTCAGGACAAAAAGTGAATTGCTTTGCCTTATTTTTTGCAGTTTTACTTTAGTGCCTTGTTGCAAACAGGATGCATGTTTTGGAATATCTTTATTCTGTACAGGCTTCCTTCTTTTCACTCTGTCAATTAGGTTAGTATTGTGGAGCAACTACAATGTGGATCCATCCTCAGTTTTCTCCCATTAAGCCATTAAACTCTGTAACTGTTTTAAAGTCACCATTGGCCTCATGGTGAAGTCCCTGAGCGGTTTCCTTCCTCTCCGGCAACTGAGTTAGGAAGGACGCCTGTATCGTTGTAGTGACTGGGTGTATTGATACACCATCCAAAGTGTAATTAATAACTTCACCATGCTCAAAGGGATATTCAATGTCTGCTTTTTTATTTATTTTACATTTTAATCTACCAATAGGTGACCTTCTTTGCGAGGCATTGGAAAACCTCCCTGTTCTTAGTGGTTGAATCTGTGTTTGAAATTCCCTGCTCGACTGAGGGACCTTACAGATAATTGTATTTGTAGGGTACAGAGATGAGGTAGTCATTCAAAAACCATGTTAAACACTAACTATTGGACGCAGAGTGAGTCCATGCAACTTATTATGTGACTTGTTAAGCAAATTCTTACTCCTGAACTTATTTAGTATTGCCATAACAAATGGGCTGAATACTTATTGACTCAAGACATTTCAGCTTTTAATTTTTAATTAATTTGTACTAATTTTTTTAAAACATAATTCCACTTTGACAATATGGGGTATTGTGTGTAGACCATGATATAAAAAATCTCCATTTAATAAATTGTAAATTCAGGCTGTAACACAACAAAATGTGGAAAAAGTCAAGGGGTGTGAATACTTTCTGAAGACACTAAGTGCATTTTACCTTCAAGCTTATATTTATACTGAACAAAAATATAACGCAATATGCAACAATTTCATTGATTTTACTAAGTTACAGTTCATATGAGGGAATCAGTCAATTGAATTAAATTCATTAGGCCCTAATCTATGGATTTCACATGACTGGGAATACAGATATGCATCTGTTGGTCACAGATACCTTAAAAAAAATGCATCTCACAATGGGCCTCAGGATCTCTTCACTGTATTTTTGTGCATTAAAATAATAGCATAATCTTCATGACTAATGTTCAAACTTAGACGTCAAACTGACCAGGATAAAGGACATCACTAGGTTAAATGACCAGGATAAAGTACATCAGTAGGTTCAATTACTAGGATAAAGGACATCACTAGGTGGAGTCAAGTCTTTGACATACACTACCGGTCAAAAGTTTTAGATCACCAACTCATTCAAGGGTTTTTCTTGATTTTTACTATTTTCTACATTGTAGAATAATAGTGAAGACATCAATACTATGAAATAACACATATGGAATCATGTAGTAAACAAAAAAGTGTTAAACAAATCAAATTATATTTTATATTTGAGATTCTTCAAATTGCCACCCTTTGCCTTGATGACAGCTTTGCACACTCTTGGCATTCTCTCAACCAGCTTCATGAGGTAGTCACCTGGAATGCATTTCAATTAACAGGTGTGCCTTCTTAAAAGTTAACTTGTGGAATGTCTTTCCTTCTTAATGTGTTTGAGAAAATAGCCCTATTTGGTAAAAGACCAAGTCCATATTATGGCAAGAACAGCTCAAATAAGCAAAGAGAAATGACAGTCCATCATTACTTTAAGACATGAAGGTCAGTCAATACGGAACATTTCAAGAACTTTGAAAGTTTATTCAAGTGCAGTCACAAAAACCATCAAGCGCTATGATGAAACTGGCTCTCATGAGGACCGCCACAGGAATGGAAGACCCAGAGTTACCTCTGCTTCAGAGGATAAGTTCATTAGAGTTACCAGCCTCGGAAATTGCAGCCCAAATAAATGCTTCACAGACTTTAAGTAACAGAAGCATCTCAACATCAACTGTTCAGAGGAGACTGTGTGAATCCGGCCATCATGGTCGAATTGCTGCAAAGAAACCACTACTAAAGGACACCAATAAGAAGAAGAGACTTGCTTGGGCCAAGAAACACGAGCAATGGACATTAGACCGGTGGAAATGTGTCCTTTGGTCTGGAGTCCAAATTGGAGATTTTTGGTTCCAACCGTTGTGTCTTTGTGAGACGCGGTGTTGGTGAACGGATGATCTCTGCATGTGTAGTTCCCACCGTAAAGCATGGAGGAGGTGGTGTTATGGTGTGGGGGTGCTTTGCTGGTGACACTGTCTGTGATTTATTTAGAATTCAAGGCCCACTTAACCAGCATGGCTACCACAGCATTCTGCAGTGATACGCCATCCCATCTGATTTGGGCTTAGTGGGACTATCATTTGTTTTTCAACAGGACAATGACCCAACACACCTCCAGGCTGTGTAAGGGCTATTTGACCAAGAAGGAGAGTGATGGAGTGCTGCATCAGATGACCTGGCCTCCACAATCCCCGGAACTCAACCCAATTGAGATGGTTTGGGATGAGACGGACCGCAGAGTGAAGGAAAAGCAGCCAACAAGTGCTCAGCATATGTGGGAACTCCTTCAAGACTGTTGGAAAAGCATTCCAGGTGAAGCTGGTTGAGAGAATGCAAAGAGTGTGCAAAGCTGTCATCAAGGCAAAGGGTGGCTACTTAAAGAATGTTTAACACTTTTTTGATTACTACATGATTCCAAATGTGTTATTTCATAGTTTTGATGTCTTCACTATTATTCTACAATGTAGAAAATAGTAAAAATAAAGGAAAACCCTTGAATGTTGAGGTGTTCTAAAACTTCTGACCGGTAGTGTACATTATTTTAAAGAATAAAATATTTAAACAAAAACAATACACAGAGAGCAAAGATAACTCCATGAAGGGAAATCTTAACGCTACAGCATACGTTCTAGAAGTTACAGTACAACAGAAGTTACAGTAAAACATGCACCAAATAGTGGCACCCATTGCCCAGTGTCCTTCCTGTCCCAACAGACCAAACAGAAAAAGAAGACTGTGCCTAAGAAGATAACGATAGCTACAATTCCCTGCGCCAAGAAGAAATACGTCACACGAGTCTGTGGAATGAACACCTTTGACATTGACAACGCTCAGATTTATGGACATTATGTTTGGTGTTTGGGATTCTGTGCTTTTATATATATTGATTACTATTTTTCAATGTTACTATGGCTTTTGTACCCATTGTTTTCAGTGCATGTTCAGTAGTACCAGGACAGGTCATGTTCAGTAGTATCAGGAGAGGTCATGTTCAGTAGAATCAGGAAAGGTCATGTTCAGTAATATCAGGAGAGGTCATGTTCAGTAGTATCAGGAGAGGTCATGTTCAGTAGTATCAGGAGAGGTCATGTTCAGTAGTATCAGGAGGTCATTTCAGTAGCTGCTGCTATAACAGCCTCCAATCTTCTGGCAAGGAATTTGTTGGAATTTTGTTATTGTCCCCAGCACAAGGTGCACCTGTGTAATGATCATGCTGTTTAATCAGCTTCTTGATATGCCACACCTGTCAGGCGGATGAATTATCTTGGCAAAGGAGAAATGCTCACTAACAGGGACGTAAACACATTTGGGCACAAAATTTGAGAGAAATAAGCTTTTTGTGCATATGGAACACTTCTGGGATCTTTTATTTCAGCTCATTAAACATGGGAACAAAACTTTACATGTTGCGTTTAAATTTTTTATCAGTGTATATGACTCTCCTCTAAATAATAGTAATCAGTTCCAATATAAGCAGAAAAGGATTAACATGTGAAAAACGTATTGTCCACGAAAACAGGAAATGTTCCTTTGGTTCCACACAATAACGCACAATGATATTGAAAACATGACTACAAAACAATTATAAATTGTGTTTAACCAGAGTTGAGTGGTGCCTATATGTAAATATGTTTTATAGATAGCTAGGGGGTAAAGTTTCTGACCTTGGAGCAGAGGGCACCAGCAGCTGGTCCACAGTGTCTGGGAGTCGGCCTCAATCTTCTTCCCTGCGGCCTCCAGGTGGCGCTGTTCCTCTGCCCAGGAGCTGTAGATGCTGGCGGCCCTCGTGTGCAGCGTGTGCATCAGGTCTAACAGCTGAGCCAGGGGAACCATGGAACTCCATGTCAATATGATGTGGTCATAGCTATTCTAATCACAATACAGCTTGATTCTAAACATGAGTATGACTTAATGTCTTGATGGCTGCAAGACATTTCCTCAATAACATGTATTAAAATATAATTTACATGTCTAAGTATTTTATTCTAATGCAGACAATATATTTGGGTTATGATCTGTGATGTCTAAATGATTCATGTTACACAGATCTAGAGTTGCAAAACTCCCTGTAATTTACCAAAGACATTTAGGAAAGTTTGGAAATCTATTTTACAACATAACTATTAATCTTTTGATTTACTATTCTTAATATACGTGTCCATCTGATCCGTTCCATGAGTTTCTACTAGATTTCCCATATGGTTCTGGAGAAAATGGCCTAATTAATGGGGGGGGGGACATCTAATGATATAATATTAAATGAACTCTACAGCTCTTCCAACTATTGACTTTTTTCACAACTGGCACCGGTTTGACCCAAAAACATTTACAACAAATATATATATTGACATGGTACACAAAAAAAACAAAAATATGAAGGGTTTTCCATGCTCATTTTAAATAGCAACTGTTTTCACTAAGTTGATGGGTTACATTTAGGATAATGTTTTATAGTCTTATGATTCTATTTTTATATTAAAAAACGTGTTCTTTTTGGGGGGAATATCTTTTACATTTCATGAAAATTCCCTAAAAGCCTTGAAAGTTTCCAAAATTCCTAAAGTCACTGGTAATATTCCCACTCTTTGCAACCCTACACTGCCCTAAATATCTAATAACAATATACCTTTTCAAGCAATTAATTAGTCGAGGTTTGCAAGTTTAATTTCATTTAGAGTAGCTAGAGCAATGATCATTGAGACAGTTCATTTGTAAATAGGCAATATAAGAGGTGAATAATAGCATTAGTCGACTGAGCATGAATACCTGATTAGTGCCAAATTAGTTCTGAAAAGAGATGGCAGACAAGGTCACTTTTAATCACTCATATAAATTACAGGAAATGAAAATAGTAGTTCAAGAAGAATAGGATTAAACACCGCCACAACATTGCTTAATTGCCATGACAACCATAATGTGACAAGAGAGGAAAAAGATATAGCTGAAATCTCCCCAAATCCCCACCTTTCCTCTGCAACCCCACCTCCCGCCCACACACAACTGAGGCAGAGCAAACCTGGGGCATATTTAGGAGGGTCCAACGTTGCAGAACTTTCAGATAGATAAATATATTGTGTAAAACAGACGTGATTGTCTGTCTTGTAGTTCTGAACGTTTCACCCAACTGAACAGAGCCCCTGAGCAGCACAGAGACCAAGGTAGAAGGGAAAGAGGGCTGCGGTACTTACGTCCTGACTAACCTGTAATGACACTGTGTGGTAGCTGGCCGGGACCCCCTCGTCCTCCTCGTCGTCGCTATGGGAACGGGAGGGCCTCTGGCTGGAGGCCTTGGCGCGGCGGGATGCACCTTCTTTCTCCCGAGGTTTCCTCCTCACACGGGACTTCTGAGAGTCGTACTTGTGGTTCTTCTTCTTCTCATGGGTCCTGTAGCCTGTAAGTCAGTGGAGATGAAGGGACCGTTTTTAGCCACTGTTACAGATATATATCCTGAGGGTGAAATGTGCTCCAAATAGTTGACTGATATCTCTGAAAAGAGAATGAATGCCCACTTGAATGCCCACTGTTTGCTGCTCCCAAGGGTAATCTATTTTAGCAGAGAGTCATGTCCATGTGACTCATGTCTTTACCCTAAGGCTGCCTACAGCACCAAGACCTGAATGAGTTTAGGACTGGCCATTCTAGTGTAAGACATTGTGCAGTATGATAGTAATGATCTTAATTGATATGTCTATAGATGTCATATTTTGACGGGTATGACTTAGCGCTTGGGAAACTCTCCAGGAAAGAATGCATTCCTTTTATTTTAAACCCAAAAGGCTACAGTGCCTTGCAAAAGTATTCATCCCCCTTGGTGTTTTTCCTATTTTGTTGCATTACAACCTGTAATTTAAATGGATTTTTATTTGGATTTCATGTAATGGACATACACAAAATAGTCCAAATTGGTGAAGTGAAATGAAAAAAAATTACTTGTTTCAAAAAATTCTAAAAAATAAATAACAGAAAAGTGATACGTGCATATGTATTCACCCCCTTTGCTATGAAGCCCCTAAATAAGATCTGGTGCAATCAATTACCTTCAGAAGTCACATGATTAGTTAAATAAAGTCCACCTGTGTGCAATCTAAGTGTCACATGATCTGTCACATGATCTCAGTATATATATATATATATACACACACACACTACCGTTCAAAAGTTTGGGGTCACTTAGAAATGAGTTTGAATAGGAAATATAGCAAAATGCATAGGAAATGTAGTCATTGACAAGGTTATAAATAATGATTTTTTATATAAATAATAATTGTGTCCTTCAAACTTTGCCTTCGTCAAAGAATCCTCCATTTGCAGCAATTACAGCCTTGCAGACCTTTGCCATTCTAGTTGTCAATTTGTTGAGGTAATCTGAAGAGATTTCACCCCATGCTTCCTGAAGCACCTCCCACAAGTTGGATTGGCTTGATGGGCACTTCTTACGTACCATACGGTCAAGCTGCTCCCACAACAGCTCAATAGGGTTGAGATCCGGTGACTGTGCTGGCCACTCCATTATAGACAGAATACCAGCTGACTGCTTCTTACCTAAATAGTTATTGCATAGTTTGGAGCTGTGCTTTGAGTCATTGTCCTGTTGTAGGTGGAAATTGGCTCCAATCAAGCGCCGTCCACAGGGTATGGCATGGCGTTGCAAAATGGAGTGATGGCCTTCCTTCTTCAAGATCCCTTTTACCCTGTACAAATCTCCCACTTTACCACCACCAAAGCACCCCCAGACCATCATATTGCCTCCACCATGCTTGACAGAGGGCATCAAGCACTCCTCCAGCATCTTTTCATTTGGTCTGCGTCTCACAAATGTTCTTCTTTGTGATCCGAACACCTCAAACTTTGATTCGTCTGTCCATAACACTTTTTTCCAATCTTCCTCTGTCCAGCGTCTGTGTTCTTTTGCCCATCTTAATCTTTTCTTTTTATTGGCCAGTCTGAGATATGGCTTTTTCTTTGCAACTCCGCCTAGGTCAGCATCCCGGAGTCGCCTCTTCACTGTTGACGTTGAGACTGGTGTTTTGCGGGTACTATTTAATGAAGCTGCCAGTTGAGGACCTGTGAGGCGTCTGTTTCTCAAACTAAACACTCATGTATTTGTCCTCTTGCTCAGTTGTGCACCGGGGTCTCCCACTCCTCTTTCTATTCTGGTTAGAGCCAGTTTGCGCTGTTCTGTGAAGGGAGTAGTACACAGCGTTGTACGAGATCTTCAGTTTCTTGGCAATTTCTCGCATGGAATAGCCTTCATTTCTCAGAACAAGAATAGAACGAGTTTCAGAAGAAAGTTATTTGTTTCTGGCCATTTTGATTCTGTAATCGAACCCACAATTGCTGATGCTCCAGATACTCAACTAGTCTCAAGAAGGCCAGTTTTATTGCTTCTTTAATCAGCACAACAGTTTTCAGCTGTGCTAACATAATTGCAAAAGGGTTTTCTAATGATCAATTAGCCTTTTAAAATTATAAACTTGAATTAGCAAACACAACGTGCCATTGGAACACAGGACTGATGGTTGCTGATAATGGTCCTCTGTACGCCTATGTAGATATTCCATTAAAATGAGCCATTTCCAGCTATAATAGCCATTTACAACATTAACAATGTCTACACTGTATTTCTGATCAATTTGATGTTATTTTAATGGAGAAAAAAATTGCTTTTCTTTCGAAAACAAGGACATTTCTAAGTGACCCCAAACTTTTGAACGGTAGTGTACACCTGTTCTGAAAGGCAACAGAGTCTGCAACACCACTAAGAAAGGGGCACCACCAAGCAAGCGGCACCATGAAGACCAAGGAGCTCTCCAAACAGGTCAGGGACAAAGTTGTGGAGAAGTACAGATCAGGGTTGGGTTCTAAAAAAATATCAAAACATTTGAACATCAAAACTTTGAACATCCCACAGAGCACCATTAAATCCATTATTAAAAAATTGAAAGAATATGGCACCACAACAAACCTGCCAAGAGAGGGCCGCCCACCAAAACTCACAGACCAGGCAAGGAGGGCATTAATCAGAGGCAACAAAGAGACCAAAGATAACCTTGAAGGAGCTGCAAAGCCCCACAGCGGAGATTAGAGTATCTGTCCATAGGACCACTTTAAGCCGTACACTCCACAGAGCTGGGCTTTACGGAAGAGTGGCCAGAAAAAAGCCATTGCTTAAAGAAAAAAATAAGCAAACACGTTTGGTGTTCGCCAAAAGGCATGTGGGAGACTCCCCAAACATATGGAAGAAGGTACTCTGGTCAGATGAGACTAAAATTGAGCTTTTTGGCCATCAAGGAAAACGCTATGTCTGGCGCAAACCCAACACCTCTCATCACCCCGAGAACACCATCCCCACAGTGAAGCATGGTGGTGGCAGCATCATGCTGTGGGGATGTTTTTCATCGGCAGGGACTGGGAAACTGGTCAGAATTGAAGGAATGATGGATGGTGCTAAATACAGGGAAATTCTTGAGGGAAACCTGTTTCAGTCTACCAGATATTTGAGACTGGGACGGAGGTTCACCTTCCAGCAGGAGTGTGACCCTAAGCATACTGCTAAAGCAACACTTGAGTGGTTTAAGGGGAAACATTTAAATGTCTTGGAATGGCCTAGTCAAAGCCCAGACCTCAATCCAATTGAGAATCTGTGGTATGACTTAAAGATTGCTGTACAACAGCGGAACCCATCCAACTTGAAGGAGCTGGAGCAGTTTTGCCTTGAAGAATGGGCAAAAATCCCAGTGGCTAGATGTGCCAAGCTTATAGAGACATACCCCAAGAGACTTACAGCAGTAATTGCTGCAAAAGGTGGCTATACAAAGTATTGACTTTGGGGGAGGTGAATAGTTATGCACGCTCAAGTTTCCGTGTTTTTCTGTCTTATTTCTTGTTTGTTTCACAATAAAACATACTTTGCATCTTCAAAGTGGTAGGCATGTTGTGTAAATCAAACGATACAAACCCCCCAAAAATCCATTTAAATTCCAGGTTGTAAGGCAACAAAAAAGGAAAAATGCCAAGGGGGGTGAATACTTTCGCAAGCCCCTGTATATCAACTCTAATTGAGTAATAGCAGGTTTTAGGGCTGTGCGGTTTCCATTTGCTTCCCATATAGATTAGAGCTGTGCTTAGCGTGATGTCTTTGATCGACCAAACTTTATTGTTAAGTGTGTAAAGCCGTGTTGACAGCAGGTATCTAAGGGCCTGGAGCGCTGGGAGAAATAAAAAGGCTATCAGTGGTGCCAGGCCTGCAGAGTGCACCAGCACCACCTCCCACTGTAATCCCTGCTTTACTCTAGAGTCTAGATCACTAACAGACTGCTGTTGCTGAATGAATGAGGGAGAAAGGCAGCCGAGTGACACAGTCCTCAATTAGAGGGTTGGTGTGGGGAGACAGGGAGCCCAGAGTCATGTTAGTCACTATATAGACATGCCTTGAGATCCACTTCCAAAGGCTTTTGAGACTAACCACCAAAAATGCAGAACTATCAAAGCTTAATTTAGGAATTACTCTAGCATAGTTTGATGACATGTGTTAGCTTGGAAAACAGCATTGATGTAAACGCAAATACAATGCCGAATTCATTGTTGGAAGATTTGTAGTTGTTATGAAAAAAACAAGAAACACTTTAGAAAAAGACTGAATATAAAATGGACCTCAAAGAAATAGGAATTGATTTGTCAGTCAACAGGAAGTGATGAAAGAGGAAGTCGTACCTCCGTTAAGGCTGGCCTCCACAAACACCCGGATGGCCTTGACGCACAGCTCAAAGTTTTCAGGGGTGACATGTGCAGCATCGCGTACTATGAAGGAGAGGGACTCCACACACTTGATGAGGGACTTGGTGTCGTGGAAGCCCATGTCTTGGCCCAGGGTCAGGCTGTACTGGTTCACTAGAGGGTTGAGCAGGGGCTTGGAGCCAGAGGCTGGTACCTTGTTGATGTCCAGGTCATCTTTACCAACCTGCCAATATAAACACTGTGTGAGATGTACCGTATGTTGAGGCATTGACTGACATTGATATGACAAAATAACACAAGCTTTACTATCACTCTGGGGCCTTCCACAATAAACAGCGTAAAATAGTATTAACGCTATGAAGATCTCTGGAGTTGATCATCTGAACACTCGAAAGAAAAGTGTGTGCAGGTGACGTGAGACTGTGTGGGCTCTCACCACCAGCCATCCGCTGCTGGCCACGTCCACGTCAGTGACAGAGCGGGGCATCCTGGACTTTCCGTGCTCCGTGTAGACCTCAGAGTCGGAGGTGTAGCCCCGGTCCAGACTCACCTCACTGTGGTGATGGGACGACAGCTCACTGTCCGACTGGGCACCTGGAACAAAGGTGGAAACAGGACATTGAAACAACATTTTACCAGACATTAAAACACACCACTAACAGTGTGGATGTGTGCTCTGTTATATAACATCTGAGCTGTTTGTATAAAGTCAATACAATTGACCGTAAACTAGGTGATCGTATGGTTTCTCAGCAGCTAAGGCCAACAAAGTAGGCTACCATTCCACGTGATGGTGTGCGTGTAAGAGGCTGACCTGTGTCGATGTCGGGACTGGTGGAGGTGACCTGGAAAGAGGCGGGGGGTTTGATCCCGGCCCCGATGCACTCGATTAGGGAGAAGAGGGTGAACCAGTCGTCTGTGCAGTGGATGTTGGCAGCGTTGGTCTTGAGCAGCTCATGGAGGCCGTAGGCCACCTCCCGGCTAACCCGGGCCAGGACGTGTGGTTTCATCATCAGCAGGAGACGCAGGGACAGCAGCACCTAGAGATAGGGTGGCAGAGGGTCTCACAGTTCCGCTAGGTCTCACAGTTCCGCTAGGTCTCACTGTTCCGCTAGGTCTCACTGTTCCGCTAGGTCTCACAGTTCCGCTAGGTCTCACAGTTCCGCTAGGTCTCACTGTTCCGCTAGGTCTCACTGTTCCGCTAGGTCTCACTGTTCCGCTAGGTCTCACTGTTCCGCTAGGTCTCACAGTTCTAGGTCTCACTGCACATTTGAATGGAAAAGAAGATTAGAATAACTAATGTGGGATTTGTGACAAGCACGTTGTGGATTCAAGTCCCTGCAACATAAGATGTTTGCCCTTATCGCCCCAGTTCACAGAAAAGGAAGAAGGAGAATACACTATTAGTTGGCTGTAACAATGTCCATCTGTGTTAGAGATCAGACTGAAAGCCAATTAAAGACCTTATAGAAGAAATGGGAGCAAAAGTTGATGCTCCATTTAGTTTTTCTCGATTTCTTAAACACCATGTGATCCATGTGAGCGAAACTGGGATCCGCATGGCCAAAACTATAACCTTTTTTGCACAACAGTCATTTCTCCTTGTTTTCACACCAATGCAAATGCTAAACACTTTTTTTGCAAAACAGTAGACGCAACTCTCCATCACAAGACACTTTTTGCAAAACAGCAGACAACTCTGTACATAAGACATAAATCATATTTTTTTAAGCATAAAAAAAAATAAAAAAATATGTTTGCGGTTAATAACAAATCACTCCCATAATAGTATGTTTTTACAACCAACATGTAAACCCACTTTTGCATAACTGGGAGTTTTTAACTCCTTCACAATCAATCCATAAATACATATGAAAGTGTTCACTAGGGACTTGTTTGGTTTCCCATGGGTTATAAAGTAGATCACATTCCTATTTTCTTTACATTGCTGAGAAAAGTGTTCAAGCAATCGCGAGAAACTGCAATGATAAAGCAGTTCAAGGTCAATAGGACAGTCACATAATAAAGGCTATTTAGGTTACAGGCCAGGTCACCAAGAAACCAGGTCCCTCTTGGAAATAAAGATTAGATCAGTAAAGACTTGGCTAATTAAATTGTCCCACTGATCAACACAGACTAAGAATACTGATAGGTAGTTCATCGTGTGCATTTAAGCCAGAGAACATTAAACATCTGATACCAGCAAACAACTATCACATGAAACATCCTTTTTCACTTGTTATATAACAAATTTAAGCCTCCTTTATAATTGCTGTTAAGACTAGGCCAGATAAGACCGATTGCAATGGCTAAAGGACATTGACCTAACAAAGCAGTGTGTGTGTGTGTGTGTGTGTGTGTGACCATCAGATGTAAATCTCATTGGATCAACAGTCCAATCATCCAATCACTCAGTGCTATCACTTGTCAGAAAACCTGCGTCATCTCTGCATTATCTGTTTGACAGCATTAAAGCAATGATGCACTCCTAGATAGTTTGGTTTCCCCTCTCGTGTGTGTGTGTACCTGGGAGCTGATGTCCTCTCTGCGCAGCAGGCGGATGGCCAGTCTGATGAGGCCCACCACAGCCCTCTCCACCAGGAAGCAGCTCTCTGTGGCCTGGACACACAAGTGGCACAGGTGGTCCCGCACCGTCTGCCATACAGACGACACGCGGTCCCTAAACACACGCACGCAAGTTAATACACACACAGGCACACACACACAAGACAAAGCCTGATGTTCAAACAGCTGATTTGACTGCTGTAATTCCTAATGGACTTGGGACAAAACAAACAGGCGATCACACTGTTCTCCGACTCAAAGCAAACATTGCACCGTTTCTTCCCTCCTGCTGTACCTGTTCTCCATGACGATGCGTAGCAGCATCTCCAGGCAGAAAGCAGCATCCTCCTCATCATACGTCTCCTCGTCAGGTGTGACTGAGATCAGAGCCTGTCCACAAGAAACAGCTTTTAGTAAACAATACTATAACATTTTATACTTCCTGTATTTCAGAAATTCATATTCAGCCAATCACGTTTAGTTGGACAATATTTGCCTGGACTCTTATGATTACCTTCATCAGCTCCTGTAGAGACTCCAGCTGCAGGAATTTACTCTCTGTGATCAGCTTCTCTGGGTCACATTGCTGGCGGGGGAGTGACAGGTAATAAATCACTATACCAGACTGACCGTGTATACAAAAAGCCACAAAAATGTATGAATAAATAAAATCTGCACTATATGAAACATAGAAATATAACGTCACCAGAGGCTATTTGGATGAGTGTGATAGAGAGAAAGCAGTAGGATGAGAGGTGATTGGTGTAGTTCTGGTACCTTGATACAGAGCATTGCTGCCTGCTTGGCCTCCTGGTTCTCAGTAGAGGGCCCACGTAGACCAGACTGCTCCGCTCCACTCAGAGTCAGCCAGTTTACAAAGCTCAGCACCGCAGACTCGCCCCTGGGAGAGAGGGAGGCAGAGAGATGTCAAATACTTTTAAAACACATTTCATGTTTAATGATAGCCACCCATTTCACAATATTACTGGAACTGGGTTTAAATGTTTGAAAAACTCCCAGAGGTTTCACAAGTCAAAGATATCAGCCTGCTATTTGAGCGTAACAGATTGTGTGACATGATTGTGAGGTGACTGGTACCGATTTGAAGGCGTCTCTTCTCTTTGAAGGGATATCTTTCCATTTGGCTCCACAAAATCCTCCACCTGTATGGACATAAGCAAACAAATGCCACAAAATGGAAGTTATATCTGGTTTTATACCATCAGGTGGCAGTATAACACCCAAATTCAAACATAGACCCATTTCACCCAGAAAAATGAATGGAAGGTTTGAGTGTTCCAGAGGTACTCAAACACGATTGAGGCCATTTGTTTTTCCGGACCATGAAAAACCACTCAGCCTATCCTGGTTACGCCTGTCCCTGTCCATGACTATTGCCATTAATAAAGAAGCAGTTCTGACCTCCACCATGGCCTTGGGCAACAGCTCGGCTCTGAACAGCTGCAGCATGGAGTCCATGATGTTCTTCCAGCCCTCCCTCAGGATGTCACCGTGCCGGTGGGCCAGGTGGAACACAGTCTTAGCAGCTACCTGGGCCTTCCCGTTACTCCCAAACACTGTGGGCAGGTTCTCCACTGACTGTATTGAACACATCCAGTGGAACACCTTAGAATACTCTAGTAGGTGAAATGCAAAAGATTCCCACATTTGAAATTAAGCACTTACCTCGCTGCTGAGCGTTGTAAACTTGCAGAGGGAGATGATCAAATTATCAAACACGTCACTGAATCCATAATGAGCTGATATCATGGCACATTTCCTAAAAGGAGAGCGACAAGCAGATTATCATCAAGACTCGCTCTCATTCATTGCTTTCCCCAATGGATGCTTCTTCAGCATCTCCTCAGAACCACAGCGCTGGGTCCAGAACCCCCTGGGGAGGCCTAGCGTACCTGAAGCCAGCGATGGCCTTCTGGATGATGGTGTCATCCAGGCTCTTGTCGAAGACGTAGGAGAGGGCGGCGATAGTGGGCCCCCAGGTCATGGTGAACAGGTCGTGGTCGTAGCTGCCGGCGGGCACGTGGAGGAAGACCCCCTCGGAGGTGGCCCCCCGGTGGAGCAGCACGCTCCACACATAGTTCTCCTTGACCAGGCCGGACTGCTCGTCTGGCATCACTATCTCATCATTCCTACAGGACAGAGAATACCATGAGTGTGTGAATGCTAAGGTAACCCTGATCATCTAGGGTGGCTCATTTGACCTGAAAAAAAACAGAGTAGTATATTCTCTTGAAATAAGATAGATTTTCTTAATCTTGTGTGTGTGTGTACGTCACAAATATTTCTATATAAGATCTAGATAAGACTATGGCTTACTTGATTGCATTGTAGATGTCCTCCAGCATATCCTGATCAAAGTCTGTATTTCCATTCACACCCTTCAGATTCTTCTTGAATTGCTACATGAAGGGGGAAAAGAAAGACTGTTAATACTGACAATACGGGAATCAGGGCACCATCAACACATCAATCATTGCGGAGCTCTGCCAGCTAGCCTGGCTCTGGTATCCAACCCTTAGGCATGCAATGCTCTTGCTAATTGAGTGTCCACCAATTAAGGCGGTGGGGGCCAAGGAGCTTCACCGACGTATGTGTCACTTAACACGGTTATGTGTGATGTTAGACATACAGGATCAAGGCCAAGAGCCACAGCGAATAAACACATCCACCGTGTGCTGACTGATCCAATCAAGGCTCCTTGTTGGCTGATGGCAGGTAAAGCAGAGGGGAAACACGAGATGCTTTGCAGTGGGATGGACAGACAGAGAAATAAACACAATGAGGGCTCAGGGGCCACAGGCTCAGGGTTGTGTTTGTCATACCAATCCCCCTCCACCCTTCACCCCAGAGCGGAGCAGACGACGGTAATAATAGCCGCCACAGACAAAGCAGCTGGCCGTGTTGCCTGCCAAGTCATCATGGGACTGACATCCAGAGAGCAGAGCTGTTCCACACTGAAGGTTTTGTTGGGGAGCTACAATGTTGTGCTATGCGGTAGCTGATAGCACAATTCAGAGCAATAGAATCTTGCCATGATGCTCCGAGTCCATTTTATCCCACAGAATATCATATCGTGGCATTTGTATGACACTTGGAGACATCACATCGTAAGGACTTTAATCTCAAATGATATACTGTGCCATAAACAGCCAGTAAACTGAACAGTAGGCATTTCATTGCCCTCTAGAAAGATATAAGGTTAAAAAACAATCAGTTGCTCTCATTCCAGCTTATAATTCCAAAATGGCAACTTGGACTACTTCAAACAAAATGTTGTGTGTGTTTGTGGCCCACCCGCGCTCTCTTCAGAACCCTGCCGATGGGACTTGTGTTTAGTCTTCAGGCGCTGTCACTCACACAGAGAGAGGGAGCCAGGACAGCAGAGGGAGCCAGGACAGCAGAGGACGCCCCCCTCCCGTCCACTCCCCGCTCACTTCTCCCACCCCTGTCGCCTGTTCACATGACTAACCAGGATGATCTCATCCCACAGACCACCACTGGGCACAGCTGTTACTGGAGGTCGGCTTTTTCAGACCATCAGAGGGTCTCAAAGAACTAGTACAACATACTAATGTAGGGTGTCTAAAAGGGTCTTAACAGGGTCTCTGGCAAAACCCATCACTGCATGGCACAAAAGCTCTCATAAGAAGTGATTGAAATCATATCTAACATATGTGGGTGATGGGTGCATTTCTGAGAATTTCAACTTAGGATAAGACAATATGTAGTGGTAATAGAAAACTTAAAAATGGTAAGTATAGTAAGTTATTTTCCATTTTATTTCAATACAAATAAATCATATTTTATTGTGATGCGTCTTCATGGGAAATAAATTGTGTGTATTTACCTCAACAGTCATGGGGATGTTCTGCTTGCGCACGTTGTTGTTGTGCTGGTCTGTGTTGAGCATGATGACAGCGTAGGCCAAGGCGAAGCCCGCGTCGTTGGTCATGAAGGGAGAGCCATTCACTTTCTACACACACAGGGGAACACGCTAATATAACCCTCTGTCCATCAATATATACATCAACAGCTGAGTTCCAGGTACTATTTCAGGTATAGTTCCAGATACACACTCATCAATATAACTACCGTTGGCATAATGTCCCAAAAAATAAATATGTTCTGACTGCTGAAAGTGAAGTCACGACGCATGACTGCTCAATAGTGGAAAAAGACACGCGTGTGCATTAAGAATATCTGTAAACTCATTCAAGGTGATTGTATATGGGAGAGAGACTATGAAAATAAATGACTAGGAATACTTTCCAGGTCACGAGGACGACCCTCTCCGGTTATTTAAGGAGCAGCCCCCATGCCTTCGATCAACAGGCTGGCCCTGTTATGCCAGCCTTGCCATTGGCACTGCTACATTTTCCTATTCCCCTAATTACTTGAGTGATTAATGTCCCTGTCCTTGATTCAGAACTGGGTCGGCATTCCACTGGACGTAATTACCTGATGATAGGGGCAGTTGGTGGCAAGGATAGGGACAGTTGGTGAAAAGGATAGGGACAGTTGGTGGCAAGGATTGCCTTGCCATGCGGTAATGGAAGAAGTGTGTGTGTCCCTCTGTGTGCCCCAGTGCATGCGTGTGTGTGTGAGAGAAAGAGAGAGAGCGGGAGAGAGCGGGAGAGAGAGCAAGAGAGAAAGAACAAGAGAGAAATCCTTTCAAGGGGGTAAGGCAGCTGACTTACATGCCAGGTGTCTGTGAAGGTTTCCAAAAGTCTATGAATGACCGGAGCCTCTCCTGGCAGTCTGAAGGCCTCCAGATACAGACGCAGCGCCTCGTCAATACGCAGTCCTTGGAAGGTGAACGTGCTGCACGTGGGAATGGAAGAATAAGTAGAAAGCACTAATATTTCTATTTTTAAGTATATTTCCTGTCAGGTCTTTCTTTACACAACTATACATACACTGAGTATACCAAACATTAGGAACACCTTCCTAATATTGAGTTGCACCCTCAGAACAGCCTCAATTCGTCAGGGCATGACTCTACAACGTGACGAAAGCATTCCACAGGGATGCTGGCCCATGTTGTCGCCAATGCATCCCACAGTCGTCTCAAGGCTTAAAAATCCTTCTTTAACCTGTCTCCTCCCCTTCATCTACACTGATTGAAGTGGATTTAACAAGTGACATCAATAAGGGATCATAGCTTTCACCTGGTCAGTCTATGTCAGTTGTTCTTAATGTTTTGTATACTCATAAAATGCAGTACACAACTGTATGCACTAATTGTTAGGGATTGAAGACAAACTCCTAGGGTTCAAGTAAACACATTTCACTGCTTCACCATTCATTACTTCACTAGTAACTGACAAAACCAAGTTTCACTACAATTAAATGAAGGAGAAGATCCAGAAAATAGTATTGTTTTAAAACCAACTGGTTGTACATCACGCTGCCGGGTAAGGATAAGAAGACTCCTACTTGACGAAGCTGTCCAGTAGCTCCATGTGTTTGCGGTCACTGATGAACTCTCCGATCTGCTTCTTGTCGAGGCGGGGGTTCTCCCGGAGCCACTGGGCCACCTCGTTGTTGTCCATGGGGCTGCTGAGGAGACCCTTCTCCTGCAGGAACTGGATGCCCTTCTTAGGCTTCTGATTGAACTGCTCTGTGCCGCAGTTCAGCAGCTGTAATCATACAAATAAATACTATCACTTCACCTTAAAGACACAAAGCGTTGAATCCTAACTTGAGACTCAAACGCCGTTCAACGGCAATGAAAGTTATTTAAAACAGATATACAACAAAATCATAAAACATACCTTCTTTTTATTTCTGATGTCCAACAGCTCCTGAGAATCAGGTAAACAAGACGAGAAGCGTTGAGGCTTTGTCGGTTCTTTCTTCTCAGCTGAAAAAAATATATACAACAATTTTCACTTTTATTCTATTTCATTCATGGCTATAGACCGAAATGCTAACCCAGTTCTTGAGGAGACCTGACCACTGGTTAGTAAAAGCAAACCTACCTGGTTCTGTCTCCTCCTGGTCTTGTCTGCCCAGTCTCATCTTCTCTGCCATCAGGTGCCCGCTGGTAGGTGGAAGGGGCACGCTGTCAGCCTCTGGAACATTCTGACCGTTGGCACTGTTCACCTGCCTGCTCGCTTCTATAACCACATGAGAAAAATATTAATGACTACCCCTCTATCCACATCTGATACAACTATAGTCAATGATGGACAAAGCCCATTCTAGTATGAGACTATCATAGCAGTAAGTACATCACATTTCTGAGAGAAATCTGCATACCTGTGGTTGTGTCTACACAGTCATTGGTTGAGCCCTCCCCTTCCGCCAACACAGTTTCTGCTGATTGGTCCTGCTGAGTGGTGCTGTTGAGCACCTTAGCCTGGCAGTGGGCCTCAGTGCTGTCAATCACAGTAAGTAGGGCCTCTAGTGAGAGAAGGTGGGTTGTGTAGAGCTGTCCAGACACAGGGAAGGCATTCTGCAAGACAACATGATACAAACACACCATAGGTCAACAAAAGAGAACATTGTTCCGCTGAAAATGTAAAGCATGGAGCATGATGATATGCATCAAATTGAAATATATAAACTATTAAGCCTTGACTGAATGGGACAGTTGACACTCTTCTAATGCAGATTTTTTGAAAGTAAATAAAACCCTAAGATCTCCGGAGTGACAGTGGCCAAAGAGCAGGCGTCCCAGTTCCCACCTTGGAGAGCAGCTTGGTGAGGTCTTCAAACAGGTTGGAGCAGTAGAAGTCACAGTCGTGGTTGATGTAGAGCTCGGTGACGAAGCTGGGGATCCTCCAGAGCTGCACCAGGGCCTCCAGGGCCATCTCCTTAATCTCATAAGGCATCTTCATGTTCTCTGACGTGATGATGTCCATCAGCTTCTTCAGATACATCTGCACACAACCCAGGTCATTCGGTTTAGTTGGTTGTTTTACAACGACTCGTGTGGTTGTGTCAAACTAGTCATTAGTGTGCAAACAACTGTGTGACAATATCGAAAACAAATTAAAAGAAACACTACAAATACCTCAAGCTGAAACTTCAAATGTCCTCGCATGCTCTCAAAGAGCAAGAAGTAGGCTCGTATGGAGGCGGTATACAGGTTCATACGGTCCACACTTAGCAACTGAAAAAGAAAACATGTTAGTTATGTCATATTGTGTAGAAGACACAATAGAAGGCTAATTTTCCCCACCAAGCCTGTGGTGTACAGTACCTGGAAGAGGTGTCTGCAGAGCTCATCTTTGATCAGGCCCAGCAGTGACTGGTAAGGGGCGATGTGGGCCGCCTCCAGAGCCACGGTCAGCAGCTGCAGGCCCATGTGCATCATGGCGTCCGTGTTGTGGCGGTCATGGGGGTTGGTCAGCGAGATGAGGAAGCGGAAGAGCTCTCGCAGACAGGGCAGACCGTAGGGGATGAGAGCCGCACCTGAAAGAAACATAACAGGAAATTATTCAAAGCCATAATTTGGGGACATAGGGTGAGACTCCAGAGGGGTATACTACAAAGCAGGATCAATGGGTTAGCCAGCTAACTTCGATAAATAACCAGAAATAACTGTTGATTTTCTGATTCAATAAGAAAGCTAAACCTATAAATGTGTTTTTGGTTGTTGAGTCAATAAGATTGTTTCACAATATTTAGGCAACGCCTTGATCCTGCTTTGTAGTGTAGCCCTCTGGTGGCATCAAACACAAGTAGGGTTGCAACATTTCTGTAACCTTCCCCAAATTCCATGGTTTCCCAGAAATCCTGGTTGGAAGAATCCTGGATTTCCTGCTTATTCCCTCGTAATTCCAGGTAAATTCCAACCAGAATTTCTGGAAAACCGGGGAATATTGGGAAAGTTACCTGCATTTTGCAACCCTAGACATGAGATATTAAATAAGACATGGGTAAGACTGAAGGACACCCAAGCAGAGACAAGTTGTGGGAAATAGGTTGAGACATGGGGTGAGACATGTTGATACATATGAACAGACATGAGAAGACATAAGGAGACACAAGGTGAGACAGAGGGCGAGACGCAAAGTGGAACAGGTTGAGGCATGGTGAAATCCAAACTGAACGCTGGTTGGTGGTGGTGGTGATGAGAGGGCTCACCATCCTCACCGTCTCTCTGTGTTTGCTGTGGTGTGAAGCGGACTCCTCGTGGGTTGACGTAGTCCATGTCGTGTATTGAGGCTGAGTCTGAATGTTCCGTCACAGAATCTCTGTCCTCCAGGACCTCAGGGATGGACTCCACCGAGGCTGACTGGGCACGATCCACCTGCTTCCCCTCAGACTGGCAGCGGAAACAGAAACATCAGTGTATGAACATTAATGAGCTCTAACAGAGACAAAAAATATGCACAAAATGAAAGACAACATAGCTGGTTCCAGTGTCTGTGTGTCCCCCCCTGACCTGAGTGTCCAGGCGTCCAGGCTCTGTGGAAGGGCTAGTTGCCGTGCCTGGGGTGGTGGCGGCGGAGCTGCTCTGGTCCAGGTCTGTCAGGTCCTCTCTGGAGGTGGCTTTGGAGCAAGTGTCCAGGCCGCTGTCTGTGGGGCTAGACATGGAGGAGGCCACGCTGTCTGGGACAGACAAACTACCCTGCTCGATGAACAGGACACCACCTGGTAGACACACACAGACCATGGTTACCTACATCAGATTTTGTTGTTGTTGAAGATATGCAATATACATTTTTCCGCTTTAGAGTGCATGACAGTATAAACTTTGATATATCTATGAGGTTTAAGTTTGATAAGACATAAAATGAAGCCCCCCTGGACCAAATGTGATTATATTTACCGAAGAGGTATTTGGTCATTACTAAGGAAGCATTTGTTATTGATGTGGCGTGGCATGCATTGATATGTTCGGTCAATGGTCGGTCTTCCGGTTATTACAACGTGGTAGTAATAATAGATCAAAAGTTAATTTATAGATCATAGAAGTGCTGGAGTGTGGCATAGCAGTCAAGCTCCCGACTTCTGACCACATTTGCACCCACGGCGACATGGGTCCAAGCCTCTGCTCGGCCCGACTGTCCTTCCTTAATGTACCACCTCCTATGTCTATCCCCACTATCATGTTTCTAATGCCGTCTGAAAAACGAATAAAATGTAAAAGATGTTCGTAACTCCGATCTAAAAAAGAATGAAAAGATATTTAGAAGATGGGGTCTCACCAGAGAGGTTGTTGTTGCTGAGGGTGGTGGGAGGGGCCTGCTCCAATCCACCCGAGGCGCTTCGTACCATGTGATGGGGGGGCCGGGGCGAGCGCTTCTGCTTCTTCCACTTTGACGACTCGCTCATCCCACCAGCACGCATCTTTAGCTGGAACCGGTACAACACACTCAGTTCACATATTCACACACAACCGCTGAGTATGCTCTTGGCTAGGGGGTGTTGTAATATCACATTGTACAGACGAGGGTATTGCATCAGGTTGGACTTTTAAAGGCAATAGGATCCTTTTGGATCATTTACACATTTGGACAATGCCCATCTTAAAACAGAAAGTAATAGACAGACAAACACAAGACAGTCACCATACACAAAAATGCAGCCACATGCTCCATCCTGTTCAGCAAATCCCCCAATGGCAAGATACAATATATGTAAGAGGGTGAATAAGACCCTACAACAAAAATGACAAATCACAAGAAACAAATTCAAGCAACCACCAAAAAATGCACACAGTAAGATCTGTTTCATTCTACAAACTAACCCCATGGCATGGGTTTGTTTGTGTACTCTACATTGTACATATCATCTAACTAAATCAATACATCTATCAAATAAATGCATCTACAAAATGGTAGAGAAATATTGTAACAATTTTGACCCCTTCGCATCATGTATGAATCTTCAAAAAGGGGGCGGCAAGTGGGTTCTGAATAAGAGGGGAGGAGGGGCACGGGGGATAGGAATGGAAGGATGGTCATTCTCCAACAGTCACCAGAGTCTCCTTACCTGCACTCGTTTGTTTTTCCACAAGATATTGTAAGCCTCAGGAGAGAAGGGGGCAGGTGCCCGTGATTAGTGATGGATGACATTTTAGCAGCAGCATACAGACAAGAGACTCAGTGATGCATGGGGGAGTCCGAACAGAGCACCATGCAAACTCCCCAGGGATGGGCTTGTTTGGGGAAGGGGAAGTGGTGGGGGGGGGGCTCAGGCTCCATACGAAGACATTCAAGAATGCGCAGACAAAACAGTGAAGGGTAGGCAATCAGACAGAATGGCAGGCTTCATATTTGAACTGCTCCAAGCTGGTGCCCATTAATATTTGTATTTGTACATTTGGAGTCTAGGTTTGATGGGGTACGATTGTGAAACAAAAGTGCCACTTATGTGGGGTTTTTTGTGGTATGAGGCTAAAACCAGAAATGTCCAATTTAAGCTACACAATGCAAATATACAAATGGGTATGAACACAAAAACTAAAAGAAGAAGTAACTTATTTTGTCATACAGCCTGAAACCATTAACCAACATTTATTTTCCATTAAATTAAGTTGAATTGAGTTGTTACGTGGGATAAACAATTTTAATAATGGATGTAAAATATTTGTTATGGAAATATGAAATTCCTTGAAACCCAAGTTCTAAGAAAATGCTGAAATAGCCCTCAAATGCGCCTTCATGCATTCACTCCAGAAAGCCATGCTATCCTGGCCCATTTCAATGCACTAGCCGAGAGCCAATTGAAAGTTATGTCTTTATCAAGTACCCTCTCTAAGCCCCTCTGATTGGTGTTTATAGGCTGCTCTGCACAAATAAGATCCTGTGTGTCCAGGATACAGGATGGGATCTGTGGGAGGGAACACAGGCAAATGTGCAGTTTGAAAGGAGGAACTCAAAGAAAATCAACAAGGACAAGAAAATAAAAGGCAGCATATGATGAGACAGAGGTGATATTGGGAAAAGAACGCCACCTTGATGGGTGGAAGCAGAGGGAGGAAAGGGCATATTGGGTATCCAGTTTCAACCCTGTACCACAAGACAATATATTATTATTGTGTAAAGACACTTTTATTTTTAGCTGTGAGGGAGCAGAGACCAAAAAAGGTTTACTTTTTCCCTGTTGGATACTTCATGCACTCTACAGTATCAGAACCAATAGAGGGTTTGTTGCGGTGGCCATCCCTGCAGAGTACAATGACTATTCACAGCACCATGGGGATGACAGGAACCAGGGGAGACAAGGGGAGGGGGTGATGCAAGCAAATTAGTCATAGCCAGATAGTGACACATTCAACAACTAGGCCTAATTTGAGTTTACCTTCTTCATGTTGGCACCCACAAAACTTTTGGCCTCCTCTTTAAATTGGGGTAGTCTGGAAGAAAAAGGGAAAATAGATGTCAATTATCTGACAAATACATTCATTAATGTAGGTATGTGATAAATTGTTCCTATCCTCTCCTCCCTCTGTGTTGAGCCCCTGTGCCTTCTCAACCTCTACCGTCAATTCAAGGTAATTCATTCATCAGCCACCGTGAGGTGACATGAAAACCTGATATCCACACAGTCATTTCTGTCCATTTGCAGAGGATATTTAAAGATGAGTCACTTTCATTTCAACCTGCACACTGAATATGCAGAGCGAGAGCACAGATGGCTTTAAGCCCTAGCAAACTTTGTGACGCCAAGGGAAGTAGCTACTTGCATAACACCGTTTAGACTAACATGGCGACTACTCTGAATGTTCATAAAGACCACACTGAAAAAAAATCTGTATTGTGTAACCTCGTATGTCAATATCCAAGCAGGGACAAAGAACCCTGAAATTGTTGTTCATCTTAGCTGAAATAATATGAAATCTCTCAAAGGCTTGCAGACAGTAGAAGAGAAACAGCTGGTGTACAAGTTGACAATTGCTTAACAAAAGTACTTTTTTGAACTAACCAAAATTCCATGAAAATAATCATAAACAGAGAGAGAGAACAATGCTTATGAGGCACTAGGCTGACAGAAGCAATCTGTCTTGGAGGGCCCTACATCTTCATTCCGGACCCAGATGATGAGCTTCTCAGTGGCTTGATTAGATGAGCTGTGCAGCGTAATGTTCTGTATTCATCACACATTGTCTGAGCGCCCTGTGCTCTGTAGATTCTTGGGCTTTGCGGCGAATGAGATGTCACTGGCTGTCTCACACACACACACATATACACACACACACACACACAGGGGGAGACGGGCCCCTGACGTTAACTCCCGCGTTAATAGAGTGTTGTCTTGCAAGCTCGATTATTGGATGATCTGTGGGTTCAACAGATTAACATCCCTAATACTTTCAGCAGGCAATCTAAGCCTCCTCCTGAGCACTCGATGAGATCCGCTGCTCATTATGCCCAAGGCGCTCACATCTTTATTATGGACGAGCCGTGGACAAGAGGGGGGCTGGCCAGCCAATAAAGACGCCGACAAATGAGGGCTGTGATAGTGTGTGTGTGTGTGTGGTGTTATAGGCATCCTCAAGGTACTTGCATGTTGTGAAAAGGGATGTTCTAGTAATAGGCCTACATCTTTTTACCACGGACATAGATGCCTCCTTTTACTGCAATGGCTGTCATTATTTTCCATTTCAATATCCAACAACCAATAAACAGAGCTGTAAGAAATATGATAACAAGCTGGTACAGTGCGTAACACAACTCCCAGCACCGACACAAATGGACTAAGAACGTGCTGATGGTGACTTGGTGATATCAACTGGCTTTATTGTGAAAGACAACACCATGTTTTTTAACAAATCCTGCATCAAATAGCCTCGTCTGAGATCCACGCGCCTCCAAGACAGAATTACACAATTACTTTATATTGAGCTCTGTTTGTTCTTGCGGTTGCGAGGGGGAGGCGTAATACATTTAGAGAATGAGACTACTCTATTCTGGATGATTTTCTGATCATTTCTGGCAGGGATTAATGGCCATTCTAATTCTGTGTGTGTGTTTATGGGGGAGACGCTCCGCTTCATCTATATGCAGATCATACAGTCTGGCGCTCTGCAGGCTCATCCCCTCGTCTGTGAGACGATGTGACTGGAAGTCTAATGTACGGGCCTCTGGGAGAGGAGCTGAGGGAGTGATGTGTTGCCACCCTATGCTAAATGTCAGTAGAAAAACATGTTATTGCATTAGTGAACCAGTGACCTCTGAATGCAGAGGAAAATTAAGACGCAAAGTGTTGCTGAGGATGTTAAATGTATTTAATGATAATTCCTATTGAGGCTTCCAAGGTATCACCAATAGATGGTAAACTGACTTTAGTATAAAAAACTTGAATGATTATCATTGGTGCTTTAACATCAGTGGTGTAGTGGAGGAAATACGCAGTGGGCATTGCGTATACTCACTTCTTAATCCCCACTGATGCGTATCAAAGTGGAGACATATGCCCATCAATTATTTAGTACAATAGAAAAATCATGCACAAAGTAGCTAACACAAACGCAAAGCACGTGAAATATATTAATGTGCGCTGCACACATACCGGTAGCCTAGTTTCAGTGGAATATCATCTGTGTGCAGCAAGAGCACGCAGCTCTCAACTGGTTGTTGCATTGAGCAGCTCACAGAAGAACGACATTGGTAGCCGGTACGGTAGGTGGAAAAGACGTTTCAACTTATATCTACCAGTAAATGCTAATAACTAAGGCAACAATGTGTATGCAAACAAGGTATTGAAAAAGTTTGGTCCGAAGTCTTGGTTGAATCTTTGCGATGCGCAATTCAGTCATCATGGGCTGTTTGAATGAAAATGTCTAAAGGATTTCCCCAAAAACCTTCCCAAATGTAATGTTGACTGAAGTAAGCCTACCCTGTCAAAATGATATTGTGATGATTTGTATCAATCGGGAGGGCATTTATTTTGCAAACTCTGCCATCACATGTAGGATATTGTACAGTACCTAAAAAAATGTGTCTCCTGATGTGGTTTAAGAATTGTTGTAGACTTAGAACATAATAAAAAAGTTTGATTTTGAGAGTGAAACCCTGATAAATCTATAGGAAAACAAACTTTGTTTTCACACAGGGCCCCTTCCTTTGCCGGGAAGGCCGTTTGGGAATTCTGTGGCAAAATTAGAGTATACCCACTTCTCTAGGTACCACTACACTACAGTTTACCATTGTTGTTTACAAAAACATTGGTTCGCAGGTCTGATGACAAGGACAGGGATTTTCATTTGGAGTTTAAATTTACTAAATTATCTTCAAATGAAAAAGTCCCATACTTGTATAATTAAACAGATTTGCAATTTACACAGAGCACAGTGAAGTAAGCCCTAATTCTACACCTTTCCCTCCCAGTGGTTTCTGGGTAGGTGCTCTAATCCAATAGCCTAATAGAAATGGGTCTTTATAGACAAACTGGAAGTTAATTTCCTGAAGGTTTCCAGTCCCAGTGTACGGTGGGGGGGATTGCGCTTGTCACACACACATCCACCCCACCCCACCCCCGTTACCTGGAGAACAGCAGCTGCACCATGTCCACCAGTGTGTGTTCGGCTGATTTCCTCAGGAGCTCTGTGGAGAGGGCAAAACAAACAGGGCAGGTGCCATTAGAGCCCGGAGGACAAGAGGAGAGAGGCCAGGCTGGGACCTCTTGTCTGTATGTGTTTGGCCAGGATTAGGAGGGTGTTCTGTTAATGCACATCTCAGGGACTGGGGGAGGGGTAAAGGGTGTTAGTTCACTAAGGGCTGAAGGTCTGGAGGGGTGAGAGTTGGAGTTGAGCGGGAGAGCTCATCATAATGTTAGGCTGGTGTGATGGAGGACCCGAGGCCATGGAAGCTTAACGTAGGAATCGGGTTCACATCTTTATTTTTTCCCTGGAAAAGCTTCATAAAATACAGCTTAGAGTGCCTTTCTAGCAAAGCATGTGGACTAGAAGCAGTTCTTGGAGAATTACAGAGATAGAGAACTCACCGCTGAGGCGCATCTCGAAGCAGATGCGGAAACACGACTGCATGATCTCGCACACAGACTCGTTGGTCAGGTGGGCTCCTACGGGCGTGAGCAGCAAAGTCCTCAGGACCTGTCACGGCAGACAGTGTGTGTGTACGTGTGAGTGTGTGCGTAACATTCAGGGTGGCCATCTCAGTTCTACATGGGCTTTTACGAGGTATCATGAAGTAAATGTTCGACTTCAAAAAGGGTATTCATGCATGTAACACACTTGCATACATTTTCAAATGACAACCCATCCCCCATATAGTGCCGTGTCATACTATGACAGCGCACTACTGTAAACAGGGAATAGGGTGACATTTGAAATAAACATGTTTGATTAATCATTTTCTGCTGTAAGATTACCTGTAGGATTTTCATGAGCACTACTTCATCGCTGGCGGGATCTGTCCCTACGAATCTGGCGTGTGTGACGGCGTCCGCCATGTTCTCGATGGCCTCCGCTGCTGCCTCATGGTTAGCATCTGCACAGGACAGACAACAAGAAGTCCGCTGTCATCATCATCTTTTTCAGCAGACATTTGATAAACAGCTCATTTCATACACTGCTCTCCTGAGTGGCGCCTCCTGAGTGGCGCAGTGGTCTAAGGCACTGCATCGCAGTGCTAACTGTGCCACTAGAGATCCTGGTTCGAATCCAGGCTCTGTCGCAGCCGGCCGCGACCGGGAGACCCATGGGCGGCGCACAATTGGCCCAGCGTCGTCCAGGGTAGGGGAGGGAATGGCCGGCAGGGATGTAGCTCAGTTGATAGAGAATGGCGTTTGCAACGTCAGGGTTGTGGGTTCGATTCCCACGGGGGGGGGGGGCAGTATAAAAAAAAGATATGTATTCACTAACTGTAAGTCGCTCTGGATAAGAGCGTCTGCTAAATGACTAAAATGTAAATGTAATTCAAGTTGCCAAGCTTCCCTCACAACTATTTAGCTGAATTAAAGTGACAACTCCATCTGAAGCTGTGTGAGAGGCACATTACCCTATTCAAATATGGATAGCATTGTCCTTCAAAACAAGATAGAACGGAGAAAGGGAAAGAGAGAGTGTTGCAGTATCCCCTGCATGGAGGCCAGTTCAAAGCAGGCAGGTCGAGGACAGTATTATTGAGAGGAATGCACATTGATATTATCCTCTTTTTAACAGATGCCAGCACTGTGCAACAAGCCAACCTGTGTAACGTTTGATGTTCACGAAATCCTCATGTGTCCTTTAACCTGGAGACATTGTTTTCCAGACCAACTAAACCACAAATCTGCTCCAATATGACCAGAGGACACATTTTGGTCAATTGAAACAATTGAATCATTAAAATGGCTAAAAAGCCAAGTAAAATACCATTCTAAGGCAAGAGGGGAAACTAAACTATCTAGGAGTGAATCAATACATGAACGCATGTTTGATGCCGAGACAGCTGCTGTCAAAGAGATAATGCAGCGAGAACGCAGGTTTTCTGACAAGTGATAGCACTGCATGATTGGACTGTTGATCCAATAAGTCTTACACATCTCATGGTCACACACACACACACCAATATAGCCGGTCAATCCAGAAGGTCCTTCAAAGCCTGGAGATCTAATCACCAGATGTGGCCTTTTGTGGGTACTGCTGGCCAATTGGCTGTCAAGGCAATGGGAGCCAGTGTTTTGAAACCCAACCGGGGCCAGATAGCAGCCTGGAGCCAGCATGTTTTTCTTTCCCATCGCTCTTAAAGGAGCATTTCATTAACTAGGCCTAATAAGTGCAGAGCATACTAGGGGAAGGAGTGGGATAATAAGTGAAAGCTTTTCCAGGTAGCGCCATGACGCCACACAACATTCCATCTATTGACAGAAACAATAGGAGGGGTTTAGGCGGGGGAGGAGGAGGGGGAGAGGTTTAGCCTGGTGCCACTCATCCCACCGACCGTCAATAATCGCTGTCATTAGCAAAATGAAGAGGGAGAAGTGACTTTCCAGTTGAGATGCTTAGCGAATGAGTGTGTGTAAAGACTTGGAGCATTTGTCAATGCTGTGAGAATGAGTGAATGATACGAGTCACCGAGTTCGCCAAGAAACGGTGGAACGCGTTTAGCAGAGTGAAACTGAGTAATGCCAACGTCCCTCAAGAGGCGAGGGCGACAACAACCGTGGAAGTTGCGCTGAAAACGTCTCATCCCACCACAGAAACTGGAGCTACGGGCTATCCAGCAGAATGTCAGAAGTGATATAGAATACTAATCCCTCTTGGCAGAGTCTACAGAGGATGGCCTAAGGAGGGGAGGACCATTGTTAAAATAACACCAGAGACTGGCTGTGTGTGGAGCAAAATGTTTGTGTGTGTGTGTGTGTGGTTGTAGAGGGGCTGGAAATGCTGACTTGTAGTAAGAAGTTCAAAATAACTCTCCCATATTCAAAAGAACTGCCGAGTGAAAGAGAGGAGAGTGGCTTTCAGAATGTCACACACATTAACTCCACGTACTATACAACGACCAATACATCTCCTCAAACAAAACAAAAGGACTGGTGCTCTCCCCTGGTCTAAGTCAAGTCAGGTTTGCTCACTTGTTCCCCTTCTGAGTGCCACTACAACCCATTGTCAGACAGCCCCAGGTAACATTTTAATAAAATACCTCTATCAGATCTCCAAATGTTGCAATAATAGTTTCGCTGCATTCAAAGTTTACTTTACTGGCCTTTAGGTAAAACAAATGTGAAGTCCTATAAATGCCTATATGATGTAAACACATAAAAAAAACAGTGTGATATTTTACGCCTCTCTTTTAAGCGGGTAATGATGGCAAAAGCTCAGTTGAGCCATCCTATGAGCCCTATAAGGCTGGTGTGGCCATGGCTGCTTTCCACAGGCTGAGTGGAGCTGCCTCTGGGCTCTGAGGGATGTGGTTGAGGAGCGGAGAGGAGAAGAGAGGGGTAGGGATTGGGATGTCTGTCAGTAGAAGGGCTTAGGCCAGCAGTCCCTCCGTGCCAGCAGACCTCAGGCCACAGATTGAGCGGAATTAGCCCTCACTAAATGAAATTAAATGTCTCCCTCTTTTCTTCTCTTCTCCTCCGGACCCCCCAGGGTGACAGAGGGGGTCAGGCAGGGCCCATTGCAAACAGGGGAAGGGAGACATGGGGACAAAGGGACGACGCGAGGGGGAACATGTTCAGTGACACACAGGGTTAAAGGAACAGGGCTACATGCTGTGGTGTGGTTCTCCTGAGAGGAGCCTCGGAGGGGATATTAAGTAATGTGTGCAAACTTGCACTGAGCCCTCTTCACCACGTTGCAGGCACGGGAGACAGCAGAGGTCTGTAATCATTCAAAGACAAAGAAAAACCACTACGTCTATACAAGAAAGCAGACCGACTAAGAGCGATGTATTTAGCATGCCACCAGTGGCCACATTATCCCTGTTATTAACATGTTTTGGCAATTGGACTTTTCAGTCGTGATACTATTAAACAACTATTTTCTTTGTTGCCCTATATACTGTATAGTGAAAAACTCAGTGAATCCATCCCTACTCAATGTAAGCTGATGTTGAGAAATTAAATGAGAGATTCTATTTAGTGTTAGTTTTACCATACATCTAATGTGAAAAAATATAAATTATTACAAATTCCCATAAAAGAAATGATCAGAAACGAGTGACGGACCAGTAAATCTGAACATCATCTTTGCCACTGCAGCCAGCAGATGGCAGTGTTTATCAGGATCAGCCCTCTGCCTGTCTTTGTATCAGTAATTCACTACCAACAGAAGTTATTTTAAACCTCTTACCTCAACTACCCCACTTGTACAACGGAGTGACAAATGGACAATTGAGTAAAAATTACTTTATTTGAGATGTTTCCTTTGGCTGGGGTTTTGAAAGCAAGATGCATTTTCCCAAAGTTTTGATAGATGGAGTAGGCCTACATGTGCAGTACTAATGCATGCTACTTGACATATCTTTAGCTAATATAGACAGCCAGCTCTCATAAATGTCTGAACTACAGAGGGATAATAAGCTGACATTTCACTGGAGATAATCAGAATAAACTGGTGGCGCAGTCTCATTAGTATAAAAGCCCATTGACTCTGAAAGGTCATTCATTCAATCTCACATTACACTATGAACATGATACCGTCTGTTGTTCACCTGGTTATTAAGGTAACATGTTGCTCTCTGACTTGGCAGTCAATTCAAAACGACTAGCTACTGGCACTTCCTCTAAATGACCGTGTCGTAAGTACCAGAAAACAACCTGGGTAGTATTAGGAACTATTTGGGCTGAAATGGTAATTAAGCCGTGTAATTTGGCACTACTTACTGGCCAATCAACGAGACCTCAGAACCAACTTGATTACCTGCCTTTGTTCTTATCTGAGATTCTAAGTAGATATTATAGTAGTGAAGTGAATAAGTTATTCTAGTGAATAATGTTAATATCTAAATTGATTACAATTATAAATCAATTTCAGTAGGTTACAACCTTTTCAGGAAGGCTTAGAATGTATCTATTTAATTTAATCAAAGCTCTAGAATTTATTTTACAATTTAAATCATAATACTTTATAGATAAAATCTCTGTCGCAACTCTGATTTCGCATTTCAGTAAAACGTTTCCAAGTATTTAACTACAGCTCCACTACATTTACTGTACGGTAATATGCAGTTGAAAAACGAATGTATTGATGTACAGAGACCAATACAACCAGTACCTCATAACCATTATCAGTTTCTTAATATATCCAACGACCGCTCGCTGTGTGAGCAGACTAAGATGGAGGCTAGGGGAAAAAGATGCCGTTGACTTCAGTGTGTTAACAACCTGGGAAAGACCTCACAGCATTTGAGGAACACGGGTTGAATTCAAACGGAGGGTAATTTCTGAGCGTGTCATATCTTTCTCTTCATTCTGCGCTGGAGGGCCATTGTCTTGAGGGCCGCTGGGTCACGTTGCCATGGTTACCCGTCCCTTTCAACCCCACTGATGAGGTGTGTGTGTGTGTGTGTGTGTGTGGGGGGGGTTATAGGATTAGGAAGCAGGCGTTGGGTTTGGAGTGACGGACAGCGGCTACGGACAGCGGCTCTGGAAGCCGGGGAGTGATTTGTGAGGGGGTGATCTGTGATGGTGTGTGCTTGTGAGTGTTGTGCGTGTGAGTGAGGTGCGTGTGGTGTGTGTGTGTGCAGTCTGTGTGTGTGTGTGTGCGTTCATGCGTGCGTGTGTCTAGATTCAGTTTGCCAGGTATTCTAAGGGCTTGTGGGATCAGTCAGAAAAAGACAACTACGGTACACCTCAAGACACGTGCCAATAGCAATGGTCATGGAGCTGAAATCAAATTACACAGCCTACCCTTCAAATATGTTTTATTAACTGAATATTGGACAACGTAACAGCTGAATGATAAAAATACAGCTCAATAAAAACAACATGTTCAGGACAGGGATGCGATAAATTATGGTGTTATTCAATGTCACAACGGAGCTTATTTAGTTTAGAGAGAGGTTGCAGCTGTTTCAACGGACAGAGATGTACTGTAACATTTATTCAACCCCTGCTATTTAGAATAACATCTGGTGATGCATGCTTATTTAACACTTTTAACAACAACTGGCGGACGCCTGCCATATTTCCATGATGATGCTAGCATGGACAGGCTGTGCCATTTGTGTGGTGAAAAAAAAGTATATTTAGGAATTGATAGTGAGAACCCGTCATTATTGGTATGCCTAAAGCCAGAGGGAGTCCATGATGACAGTTCTCACAGATTGACAAAAGTGTTTTCCCAATATTCATTTAGCAGTGGCGCAATGTCGCTGCAATATCGTTACCGCCACTCCAAAAATAAAATATACAGTACCAGACAAAGGTTTGGACACGCCTTCCTACACATTCAAGGGTTTTTCCTTATTTTCTACATTGTAGAATAATAGTGAAGACATCAAAACTAGGAAATAACACAAAGTGTTAAACCAGGGTTCTTCAATTCCGGTCCTGGAGGGCCGAAACACTTCTGTTTTTTATTTCTACCTGGTAGTTAATTGCAGTCACCTGGTGTCCCAGGTCTGAATTAGCCCCTGATTAGAAGGAGAGGATGGAAAAACAGAGGTGTTTCGGCCCTCCAGGACCGGAATTGAAGAACCCTGTGTTAAACAAATCAAAATATATTTTATATTTGACATTCTTCAAAATAGCCACCCTTTGCCTTGATGACAGCTTTGCACACTCTTGGCATTCTCTCAACCAGCTTCACCTGGAATGATTTTCCAAGTCTTGAAGGAGTTCCCACATATGCTGAGCACTTGTTGGCTGCTTTTCCTTCACTCTGTGGTCTGACTCATCCCAAACCATCTCAATTGGGTTGAGGTCGGGGGATTGTGGAGGCCAGGTCATCTGATGCAGCACTCCAGCACTCTCCTTCTTGGTAAGATAGCCCTTACACAGCCTGGAAGTGTGTTGGGTCATTGTCCTGTTGAAAAACAAATGATAGTCCCACTAAGCCCAAACCAGATGGGATGGCGTATCGCTGCAGAATGCTGTGGTAGCCATGCTGGTTAAGTGTGCCTTCAATTCTAAATAAATCACAGACAGTGTTACCAGCAAAGCACCCCAACACTTCCTGTCCTCCATGCTTTACGGTGGGAAATACACATGCAGAGATCATCCGTTCACCCACACCGCGTCTCACAAAGACACGGCAGTTGGAACCAAAAATCTCCAATTTGGACTCCAGACCAAAGGACACATTTCCACCGGTCTAATGTCCATTGCTCGTGTTTCTTAGCCCAAGCAGGTCTCTTCTTCTTATTGGTGTCCTTTAGTAGTGGTTTCTTTGCAGCAATTCGACCATGAAGGCCTGATTCACACAGTCCCCTCTGAACAGTTGATGTTGAGATGTGTCTGTTACTTGAACTTTGTGAAGCATTTATTTGGGCTGCAATTTCTAAGGCTGGTAACTCTAATGAACGTATCCTCTGCAGCAGAGGTAACTCTGGGTCTTCCATTCCTGTGGTGGTCCTCATGAGAGCCAGTTTCATCATAGCGCTTGATGGTTTTTGCGACTGCACTTGAAGAAACTTTCAAAGTTCTTGAACTTTTCCGTATTGACTGACCTTCCTGTCTTAAAGTAATGATGGACTGTCGTTTCTCTTTGCTTATTTGAGCTGTTCTTGCCTTAATATGGACTTGGTCTTTTACCAAATAGGGCTATCTTCTGTATACCCCCCCTACCTTGTCACAACACAACTGATTGGCTCAAACGCATTAAGTTTAAATTAACTTTTAACAAGGCACACCTGTTAATTTAAATGCATTCCAGGTGACTACCTCATGAAGCTGGTTGAGAGAATGCCAAGAGTGTGCAAAGCTGTCATCAAGGCAAAGGGTGGCTACTTTGAAGAACCTCAAATTTAAAATATATTTTGATTTGTTTAACACTTTTTTGTTTACTACATGATTCCATATGAGTTATTTTATAGTATTGATGTCTTCATTATTATTCTACAATGTAGAAAATAGTAAAAATTAAGAAAAACCCTGGACTGAGTAGGTGTGTCCAAACTTTTGACTGGTACTGTATATTTTTTTATATTTTTACCGAGACGCGCTTTTAAAAGGATAGTGCGAGATTTCAGCAATTCAGGCCTTTTTCTACTTACCCAGAGTCAAATGAACTCACGGAGACAATGTTTATGTCACTGCGTGCAGATTGAAGGAAGTTGCTAACTAGCGTTAGCGCAATGACATGGAAGTCATGCTGGCTGTTCCCAGAGAGTTCCAGTCATTGTGCTAACACTAGTTAGCCATGGCTCATGAAACTACCTTCAACTTCCTTGAAACTGCACGTAGACATAAAAACTATGAGTTCATCCGACTCTGTGTAAGTGGAAAAAGCAAACAGAGCGAGCAGTGGCTACTCATCTCCGTACAGTGCAGTTCCTCCTCATATCCCTATCAGTTATATTTCAGATGGTGTCAACATTATATAATTTTAATGCATTTTGGAGTAGAATGTCCATTCAAAAAGTCACAAGAAGTGACCTACACTGTCGTTCTACAAAAAAAAAAAAAACACCCAGGGGAGACCCCCCCGCTACGTTTGCCACCACTGCTGATAAAGAAATTATAGGGGAAACACTGACAATATAACCAACTCACCTTCTTCGTGGAAAGCTGTCTTTTAAGAACAATGTAGTGGTCCCACACATAAATCTATGTCAGTGTTACATTACTTACCATATTTAGGCTAAATAACTGACATAAGACCTTACAGTGTCATCTGTGTATGTATCATCAATGCTTACCAATTGGACAACAGTGGGTTTTTTTGCCCTGACCTGTCGGTCTGTTTGTATGAGGACAGCTCTGCTGCTCACCTATGAGGCCATAGGACAGGAACTTGTTGACAGAGGTGAGGGCCAGGCCTGTGATTGGTCCGGTGGTGTCTTCAGACCGTACCACCTCCAGGAAGGGCCGCAGGAATACGTTGGGCTCCACATCTGACAGCTCTGTGGAGACAGAGAGAGAGGACAGGTCAGTCAACATATTCAACCCTGAACACTGATACTGCATACAGGACACCATCACCTGGCGAGAGAGCTGTGTGTGGCTAGAAGGGGTAGGTCAGTCAACACTCACAATTAACCAACACTGGATACAAACAGCTTTAAATGTATTGATAGGTTTGTGCTTGGTGGATCAATTAAAACCATACCCGTAAAAAAAAATATATATATATATATTACATTACATGATTAGACAGCAGTGTACTGTATCAAATAGATTTGTCTTTCTTTTTTCAGTGTTACAGATCACATGGTCTGGTCTCTACTATTGAGCAATATTTTTCCCAATATCTTAATGCTCTCAGATATCTTCCCTGATCATGGCAGCGGCATCTTCAAATCCCAAGTGTGGGATGTCTCGGTAGGGCCTTAGCCCTCAGTTCTGCTGTTGTGCACAAACATCCAGAACAGAGTGGTCAACAGCAGCGTGAGTACTTTTCTCTGCCTTTAATATGCTTTGCTCTCTATAAAGGTCTGTGTAAACAGCTCTGGTGCCCCAGGGCAGATCAATGGGGAATTAGCTGCTCAGGAGGTTGTAACCTTCTCCCACTGCTGCAGCACAGTAAGAGATGAGAACAACATGGAGCGAAGTGTGTGTGTGTGTGTGTGTGTGTGTGTGTGTGTGTGTGTGTGTGTGTGTGTGTGTGTGTGTGTGTGTGTGTGAGAGAGAAAGACAGAGAGAGTGAGAGGCATTCAAGAGCCGCCTCTTATTCACCTTGGCAGCGCACGGTATCTTATTACAACTCAATTTCCAAAAGCTTTTTTTTAAGGCAGCTGTGTAGGATGTGGGATTTAGCATTAATGAAAATGACTGGAGAGTGACTGGGCTTGGTGTCGGGGTGAGGGTTGCTGGTGGCTCAGTGGGGTCACAGCGACTGGAAGAAATCCCATAACGACCGACCACAGTGTTTGTATGTTTACATATTCCATGACAATGACAAAACATATGCCCAAAAGACATTGAGTGAAAGACAATGAACAAGCGTATCCTAAAGCCCCCACAAGAGGCAGATTGTGGTGTATAAATTAAGGACTAAAGTCGGGTTACACCAAAGACAACAAAACACAGCTGGAGAGGAAGATGCTCCAAATATTCCTCTTAATCAATTCACAGAAAAACAAAGATCACTTTGCGTCTTTCGCACTGGGAAACCACCTCGGTCCAATCCGAGGAGGCTTGGGTAACCGCTCCCTCTGAGGGTAACCCAGAGAAAGAGTTGGGGGTCGAGAGGGGCTGCAAAATACAAACCAGGTAAAACAACAAACGGGCAAATTAGTGGAGTCACGAACGCCGTTTGGAGTGTTGTAGAAATACTGCTTGCCATAGCAATACCACACGGATTAGGCTTCCTCTAGAGCAGCTACTCTAAACTCGAAAAAACTACTTGTGACTTCAAAGGCTGAGACGAGCCTCAACCAATTTCCAAGATTGCACGTGACCACCGCGCATTAGCTTGTGATATCCAATATCCCCGCGGCTTGTTTGGAAATGAAATATTTAATAATTTGGAAATTTCCACACTCCTTCATCGGACGCCAGGATGCTCTTACGGACTTGCTTCTGAAAGTAAATCTTCTCCCGCTTGCATTTTATTTTTCTTCATTTTTTTTGGGGGGGGGGGGGGGGGGGGGGGGGTCTGATGTTTTCTTTGTATTCTCCATGAAAACCTTCAATACTCCGTTGATGGAGAAGTTCCATTTGGTATAAATTTAGCCACAATGCTGAAGTACCTGCCTGAACAATGGTCTCAAAGAACCACAAGGTCACCTGAACGCTGCTGAAAAGTAATTTCCCCCCATCAGATATCAAGGCAGAAATAACAAAAACAAACTTAAAAGAAGAGGTTGTGTAAACTCCAAAAAGAGAAGGCGACCTCAGTTGTGTTTCTATCAATCATTCCATCAGCTCTTAGAAACTTTTAAAGGAGGGGGCTTAGTATCCATTACTTTACAGTTGGGAGAGGAGAAGGGAACGGGGGAGGAGGGTGCTCAAATGAATCCGTCAATAGGAGGCTGATAAAGACTTCATCAGAAGCGATCACCCTGTAAGTGCCACGGCTACGTCTCAAAGACCCTCAAATTGGAGAACTAAATTGTGTTGTATTGATCTGGCTGGCCATCGGTGAGTAGGGGCCAGTCCATCAGACAGCTCTCTTCTGGCAGGCCAGCCCAATCTTCTTAAATAAAGTCTAAATATAGCTCTGTACTTCAGCTCAATCTCCAGGGCATGTGAAGTGAAATAAATAAAGACGGCCACGGTGAGACAATCACACCATAACCAGGTTGACCTCTGGCTGACATTGGCCAATATAAAAAGGGGATTCAAGTCCCTCACCCATCCATGTATAACCTATTGCCTCCCAACTGTGTGTGTGCGTGCGCGTTAAATATCAGCCACATTAAATACGTTTGGCATAATAGATTTTACCATTGTTTAAGTCCTATTTGTCAAATACAAAAATGTACAGCTAGAACATTTTTCAGAGGCTGGCAGAGGACATTTGGCCATGTTGGAACCATAGCCCCAGTGTTTCCACTGCATTCATTTAGCTGTGGCTCTGCGCCAAGTTAAAATCATTGCCGCGACAGGCCAGAAAAATATGCAACATGAACAAATATTTCTGCCGAGGCGCACTTTGAACGTGCTAAAACAGTCCACATTTACTTTTCCTCTGCAAATAAAACAAGTAATGAATAGAAAAATCAGACAACCCCAAAGTAGAACAGCTTATTTATTTACCTAGTCGGCTTGTTGTTGTGTGTTCTATTCAAGATAAATATTCCTCTCGAGACACATTCAAGTTACGAGTGCCATAGGGTGGGAAACATGCATTCTGACAAGCAGTCAATGCACAACAATTCTTGCAATCTCAGGGAAAACAGAAGTTCTAATGGCCTTTGTTAAAAAGGGGGATCCCAGCTTTGAATTCCTTCTTTATTTATTTCTCAACTCCTAAATATGCACGAACTGAACCATTTTAAACCCTGAGTTTTGAGCAGTGGCATGGTTGCTGTGAGTGCATAGGGGAGAGTGGGGCTAAATGTAACATGGGTCAATTGTTGGGTAACTTAGGGTAAAACGCCTCCCTACATAAAAATATTTTGGGGGAGTGACTTAAAGTAGTGGCAACCAGGGAAAGTGTTGGGGGGGTGGAAATTGTGACATGAAGTGGTTTCTGTGAGAAGTACAGGCAGGGGGCGTTTTACCCCGGGTGGCAGAATACCTCAAGTTACCCTAACAGGTAGGTCTACATTGTATTCACTCTGTTTAGGCAAGTTTTTTGGGCCATAAAATTCATCAATAGTATGCAAACTAGTTAAAAGATCACATTTGGGATCTAGCTAATGATTAGCCCAATAGGGCGGCAGATAGCTTAGTGGTTAAGAGCGTTGTGCCAGTAACCGAAAGGTCGCTGGTTCTAATCCCCGAGCCGACTAGATGAAAAATCTGTCGATGTGCCCTTGAGCAAGGCACTTAACCCTAATTGCTCATGTAAGTCGCTCTGGATAAGAGCATCTGCTAAATGACTAAAACATGTAAATAATGTAGGTTAAATGCAGAAAGGCAACCGCATGCTTCAGCCTATTTATTTATAGACACTATGCTGCATCAGTTGGGCTACAGGTGATAATACTTATTGCTAATCGCATACCTGATAATATCGACCATGCATAGGCTATATGCATGGTCCAATATGTAAAAATCATTTTAACAAATAATTTTACCAATATGTTATTTCGCTCATTTCTGGAGGTGGAAATTATATTTTAGATGGTGTCAGCATTATTTTATTTTCATTCATTTTGGAGTAGAAAGTCCTTTTAAAAAGTAACCATAACTGAGTTTCTCAGTCCTTCTACATAAAAACCACACTGCCTGGTGTGTGCTGCCATGTGTGGCCTACCTCTGCAAACGACCACAGCAGAGACAGGGAGAGCCTGAACCTTTGCCCCCAGGAGAGCACCTCAGTCCACGCCATCTAACATATGCACATCCATTGGCAGTGGAGCCGAAAGGGCTTAAAACAGGAATACTAGGAGGGACGAGGAGCTGTGCGCCAACTGTAAAACTGGCACTGTAATGTAGACTCCAGTAGAAGATATTCACAAGACCACTAAGAGAATGTCTTGATAAACATTCATATCAGTTTTTGTTTTCTTTAATGTATCAGTCTACCTGTTTGTTGCTGATTTCTTATGGTGAATCATACTGTATATGGTGAAGTCAAGTAGAAAAACTGCTATGCTTTATCAGCAGAGTGCAGCGCAAAATCAAGGCAGAACTTTATCTCTGAGAGGGCTGCTTCAGAAGTGAAGACAGTGAAAATAGCACACACACAGGCAACTACAATATCGATTTAATACAGTCAAATTGTGAAAATTATGATAATGCCCTTTTAGTGTAAGAGCTGTTTGAAAAGACCACCTGAAATTTCAGCCTGTTTTGGAGGGATGGAGTTTTGGCCTTCCATGGTGACATCACCGTGCATTCCAAACCTCTCTGCCAATAACCGCTAATTTCCAGTTTCCCCCCTCCCCTCTCAGACCACTTCCAGACAGTCCTACAAAATTCTTGCTTGAGAAATTGCCCTTTGCTATGAAGCAATTTGTATATTTTTTACAATTTTAATTGAAAACAATCACAGTTAGGTACTTAATTCTTACCCAGAAATTATTTGAAATTGAAATTTAAAAAATAGGCTGCATTGGACCTTTAAACAAATAAATACATTGGTTATCATCTAAAGAAAATTACAAAAAAGTTACACGATTCTGCCACAGAATCAAAATAACATAGCCTAAAACGTATGCTTTACGGCTACACAGCACAGCAAACTGATAGGACATCCATATCACATTGCCATGAGAATTGCTGTGTTAAAGGAAAAATCCACTCAAAACCTAATATGCGAGAAAAATGTTTGTGAAAAAATGTTTCATTTTGGCTTTATAATAAGGTTGGTAGCAACATAGAAAATCGTTGTGGAAACCTGTTTCAGCTCAAATCGACTACAAAATCCACAATGCAATGCTCTCTCTATGGGCTGGCTGGCTAGGTAGCTAGCAAACGTAGCTACACAACAATACCAAAGACAATATCAGCATGTAAAGTAGTTAGCTATAAAATCGCCTAAACAAACTGCACTATCAATTTAGGAGTCTACAATCTCACCATGTTCAACCTTCAGATCGATGTGCCTCACAGAGTGGAGTCTGACATTCGCAACAGAGGAGATGGGAAACGTTGCCCATGCTACGTCAATGGACCGCGCGGTGCATTCTGGGCGATTCTGGGTCAAGGAGAGCTCTCCTTCAAGGAGTGAATAGGAGTCTATTGGGCGCTAGCTCAAAAACAGAACATTAGCACAAATTTCGACAAAATACAACTATTTTCTGAGATGTAAGATAATTAACTTGCTATCTGTAATATCGTATAGCTTTGGAATCGTGACATTAAGTACTTTCGAGGAAAATAGGCACGTTTCTCGACATATACACTGACTTTGAGATGGGATTGCGTGACGATTAGCAGCATGACAACGTGAACGCGATTAGTCGACAGTCTACTGGTTGGGGCGTTATACGTTCCTTCATTCATCGGATTTCTATCTCCTTTCTATAAAATATCTGGCAACTGCACCCTGGACTAAAGACGCAGACAAATAGGAAAAAGTTGCTACATCCTCCGTTAAATTACAAATGTATCGAGGTAGGAATATCGCAAAAATATGATAAATGGCTCATTCAAGAGAAGACATCCTCCCGAGTTATGACATCGGCCAGTATTGAAATCTGACCTGCATGATAGACGTTTTCGAGCTAAAAGTCGTATTCCTATTAACTTCCAGTGTAGTGAGAGCGACTATCACAGTTCTACGTCACACGGACAG